ATGGCATTTTCCGAAAACTTCACGACTCGCTCCGAGACGAAGTCCTTGACGGCAAATACCGTGACACGGTCGACAACAACGTGGAAGAGTGGGTAGCAAAGGCGATCTTGGTAAGGGGTCTGGCCTTCAACGGGAGCTCCGTCCCCGAATTCTTCGAAGAATATGAGGGATATGCGGCTGAGTGGGGCAGACGCCTAACCACCGCAAACTTCAACGCCAACCGATGCGGTTTTTACACGTCCTACTACATTCTTGAGGCCCATATCATTGGGCTGAGAACAGGACACCTTTCTCCGGTACTCCCCAACGATGTGTCCGGGGAGGGATTCAAGTTCCAGGTGGGGCTGCTCGCACAGCACTGCGGGATATTGCAGGCCATGCGGAGAAAGGCCGGATTCGATCCTGCCGCGCGCCTCAAACGGGCTATGGACACGATACGGGAAGGCATTAAGAAGGGGTATGTCTACACCCTCAACGACCTCAGCAGTATGGACGATCTGATCTACCGGACGTCCACCGTTGCCTACGACACCTGCTTGGCCGACCGTCCTCAAACCCAGGATGACATCAAACAGGAGCTGTCCGACCCTGTACCAAGGAAATACCGCTTCCGACCCCGCGATCGCCATCGACCCGGAATTCGCCTTACACCAGGCCCCGGCGTGAAGGACGAAGACGAGCCCGACTTTGCTGGATCAGCGGAGGATGAGCTGGGATCGGATGGTTCTTCGCACGAAGATGACGAGAAGCCTGACGACCTTGACGAGCCCATGGGCGACGACGAGGAGGAGATCCCTCCCCCTCCGCCACCGCCCCCGGCTCCTCCTGCGCCGCCTGTCCCGGTAGAACCGGAGACTCCCGTGGTGCCGCATGCAGGCGTCAGTTCTGGCGATGCTGTGCCAACTCCTCCTCCTCCTCCTCCCGCTCCCATTGCGGCAGGCGTTACTACGACTGGGGATCCGTTTGAGGAAGAGGACATGGCCATCAATACTCGTGTCCCTGACACCGAGTCCGAGCTGGAGGGTGAGTCCGACCAACCCAAGGCCAGGAGGACATCTCGTGGTCGGGTCCCCGCGCCCGAGAAAGGGCAGGGGGGCGTTCAGGTCCCGCCTAGCGGGCAACCCAGCTCTAAGAGCATGGCCCAGCCTGCCCGTCCATCCCCGGTCCCCGCGAGAAGCGGTGTGGAAGGTGGGGAGAGAAGGGGCAGGACCAAGGGTTTCTACACCCAGAAGGATCCTTTTACCGGCGAGGACGCGACTCCCCGAGTTCGTCTTCGATCGGGCGGTCCCGGAACTCCTGCGTCCCCACCACGGGATGCCACCGGTTCCTTGGGCGGCCATGGCGGCTATGACCCGCGCGATGACGACAACGACGAGTGGGAGCTTCCCCCGGGTGTGCCTCGGACCACTCGTGCGGCAAATGAGTCGCGGCCCCGCCGAGATGACGATCGGTCGAGGACCGCGCTTGGGGCCCGCGAGGATCGTCGCGGTCCAAAGGGTGAGGGGAAGGGTCGAGGAAAACATCGACCTGGCAAAGGTGGACGCGAGGATCCTGGCCCGCCCCGACAAAGGGATGATCGTGGCAGGGATACCCGCGGAGGCCGACGCGATGATCGCCGACCTCCTCCACGTCATGAGGAGACCTCCGAGAGGCGCGGCCCGGGGCGAGATGAGCGCCGCGGACGTGATGACCCGGGTGATGACCGTCGCGATCGCCACCGGGACCGGCGCAGGGATGACCGACGTCACCAATCAGATCCCCCTCCGCCTCGCCGACCTCCGGCTGGTGACCACAATAGGGGTGGTGGTGAGGATCGCCGTCGGGATGGAGGAGGTGATCGAGGTGACCGTGGCGGACGCCGGAGAGACGACGTGCCCAGGGACCGGGAAGAACCTGGTTCGGGGTGGTAGGCGGGTACCGCAATCAGCATCCGCCTTAGAAGGGCGAGGATAGTACGTGTGTCGCCGAAAAACGCGACCGCGCCGGTCATCCTCTCGCCCATGCGGCGCTGCTGGGGGTGATGGTCTCCATTGCCCTGTGCCGCTGATCCGGCGTTGCTCGTGTCCCTCCCGCACCGCTGCCGTGCGCGCCGGAGACGGTTCCCCTGGCGATCCTGTGTGAGGCTGTGACCGCACTAGAAGTGCCGGGCCGGCCATAGCCGCATATTTTCACACCAATCTCGGAACTTCCGCTTCTAATTTCCTCCCAACTCGACTACTCTTCCAACCGCTCCACGGCGTGCAGTGAGGCGCGGTGATCCAGATAGGATCCCCCTCCGCATGGCATCGTCCCATGACAACTCATGAACGGCACGAGAGGAATCTTCGTATGGTTCCTCCAATATGTCTTTGTTCACTCACGTGGTCCACTCGTCAAATAATCCTGTCGCCCCGATAATTCGGGGTGGTGGCGGGATTTTAACTGGGGCCCAGGTGATGCCGTTTGGCTCACCTCTGAGTTGACACCGGCATTTTTGGTTGGTCCCTTTCGTCGTGAACTCAACTGTCTCGCATCCTTTCTCTCGTCCAGATATCGGATGAGGGGGGTGTGTTTTGTTCACGTGTTGTTTCATCATGTGGCAAAACGGCCGAATGGCCGTTTGGCTCAAGTTTTCCACCTCCCGACAGGTCTTCTGCGGTAAAACGTCAGGCGCCATAGTGCGGCGGTCTTCCCCCTCATTAAGTAGTTTGCTGCTTGGTGCGGGATAGGGCTGGCACTAGGAGGTACCTGGTTTTACGGCGCGGGCGCCCTGGGCTTGGTGGCATACTTCCCGATTTACTATTGCAACGTGTTTTTCCTCCCCAAACATTTTCCTCTTCTACCGTCACATCCTCAACCCGGTCATCATCCACAGCTTCATCCGAGTTGTGTTTCCGGGTGCTGTGGGCACTTTGTGATCTACCTTGTGCTCATTTGCTTCCCTGGGCTACTTCGTGTTCGCCCAAAACCGCATTGCCAATCCACGCATGTGAGTTCCCACAAACAAAAACCGCCACCCAAGCTTCAAGGGGCACGCCCGAACAAGAGCCATGGGCACTGAAACTGGGCCGTTTTTGTCTGGTGTCAGTCTAAATCACATCTTAGCACCTTGTTGGTAAGAAAAACGGAACCGTCCTTTACTTATTTGCGAAATTAAGGGCCCCTGAAGCAAGTATTTACACTGTTGTAAACTCATCTGCGCCGGCTGTACTATCGCACCTAGCCAAAAGAAGAGTTCCCTTTTAGGTTGGTTTTAAAGGGAAGCCAAAAGGAAACCAACCATGTTTTGGGGTCCCCTATCAAAAGATCCCCACTTGGTCGTCCAAAGCGAAACGACCCTTTTAACGCTTCAACGGGTTTCTATCAGGAGCAAACGGATTTCAACATATGCCGAATGAAAGGGATTCCTATGGTTCTGGATTCTTTGATTGTTGGTGTGCTTCTCACTTACCCCACAGAAGGATAGTCCCTTCATGTCATTTCTATCCTCTCACCAACAGACATGTACATGCACAGGTCCCATGTTCGATATGAGAGTCATATTGCTGGAGGGAGTTCTTCGTTTCAAATGTGTCGGTGGCTGTTCAGGGGCCGCCCTTGGCACCCTTGTTGTTTGGCGGGTTCCCCATACATGGACCTCAAGCAGATAAAAACCCCAGAGGTTTGATTTTCCCAGCATGACGCTTGACTGAGACGTTGCGACGGGAGCAGACCCATTCCCATTTGTTCGCATCTCCGGGAGGGGGTTGTCCCCTTAAAATTCCACAAGCTTCGAGGCATTTCACGGCTTAGAAGGGCTTGGAGTAAAAAATGGGGTGCCATAGGCGTCCTTTTTGGTTGTTTTGGTAGAAAAATAGGTGGCCCTGGTTTACCTAGTGGTTTAATCATCTAGCAGGGCCATCTATTTCCCCTAAAAGAACACCTACTAGTACGTGGGGTGTCCTTTCTATCACAACACTTTGGGTCCAATGACCATAGGCAGGCAGAATTTGCATTTGCGTCTTCGAAGCGTCTCTGTACTGGTTGGTCTAAGCTGGTTATGGCGGAGGTCTAAACCAGGGTTTGCTCCATTTCCCTTTTTGGAAATTGCAAAAGTAGCGGCCGTTTCAAGGGAAGCCACCAGTAACTTGATCAACTTCAGAAGGGGAAATCCGGTGGCCCCTGCCAACTAAGCTCTGGCCGGTTGATTTGTCCTACTGGTCGCTGTCAGCAAGAGGTAAGTATGCCGGTTGGAGCTTGTGTGTGGAATGAACCCAGCACGACCATGTCCGAGTTTTCTTTGGAACCTTCAAGTCGAGTCTCACCGACCACTTTGACGGTTCCCAGCCAATCGCCTTTAGGACTGAACCACACATCTAAGGGTTGTTGAAAAAACACCCTGGGACTACGCCCCTTGGGAAATGGCCCAAAATGGTCCAAAATAACATGACTTTATCCCGGGATGCCTGAATGGGGTCATTTCGTGGGCGTACTCCCAGGGCGTGATACAAAAAAACTCCCGGGAGCAAAAGGTGATTGTTGTAGCGGGGGATCTGCGAACAGCCCAGATGTACATCCGGCGGCTTCTGACCCGTTCGGAGTCCACCCTTCGTTCTGAGGGGTCAACAAAGGGATCAAGCTACGTAGCGAGCTTACATTGGTTGGTGTCCAGCGTTGCGGCTGAGAACCAAAAGGACTGCACGTGAGCCAACCACGCCCGTCCACCAGAACACCAGGGCGAATTGTGAGTGATGAACTGATAATTTATGAGTTGTCCTTTGTTCCTCTGATTTCTTGAAACTGCTACCACCCCGAACACCCGAAGAGACAAACACAGACACAGACACACAGACGCACACGCACGCACATGCACGCACACACCCACATCCACACCCACACACACACATACCCACCCACACACACACAACCGCGCCCAAACACACCGCGAGTGTTGGTCTACTTTAGTCTTTCACAAGGTTTTGTTTCGGTCGGGGGGTGCTGTTCCGGGAGTTTTGTCTCGCGAAGGGTCTTGGAATCCGCAGGTGTCCTGCACTGCCGAGGCTGGACGGGCTCCGGACATCCAAGTAGCCCCGAAAAATCGACACGTGCAGATGGCCTGAGCTTTCATGGTTGTTGTTGGGAAGCATTTTACCATTTTGCTTAGTGGTTGAGTGGTCGAACTCCAACCACTTAACTGCTAACATTGAGAATTGTTGCTCCCCTTCCAACGTCAACCAAGCTTTGGTCAAGTTCCCTTTGTCTATCCATGTGAGAAGAAGAGAGGGCTTCGGAGAAGCTCTAAAAAAACCCACTAGATCCCCCAGTGCCCTTTCTCACCAACTTGTTCGGGGGAGGGTTCCCCTACTAAAATAGACAGGAAAAACCATCGGGTATCCTTTTCGAACCTCTCTACTGGAGGACCTAGCAGTTGTCCCACGTCCTCTTGGGGAAAGGCTCGTAACTTTGACCGCGATGTCTCGAACCGAAGCCCAGTCAGCGGAGCCAGTTTATGTTGCTGTGCCTTAAAAGGGGACCTGCAAATTGGCGGCTCTTTCCCTTTGTCCCATCAGAGCTTTAAGGGTACGGTGAGTCAAGCAGGGAGTTCAAATTTCACAGAGGCTCGGAGGTGCTTCGTGACCCTTTTGGCGCGGCCATTTCAGGTCCTTGTGGTTGTCTTGCTTTAGGGGGAACCCAGGTTTGGTGGTTTTAAAGGAACTCCAAGTGAGCAACCACCATTTTGGGGATCCATTTCAGATCGCAGCTCGGCAAGGCGATGTTAGGGAAGGGGCTCGTAGTTTTTGAGCTGCGCTGTCCAAAGGCAAATTTCGAGGGGTACCTTCCATGTCCATTCTTTCTAAAACACCACCCAAAACTCTGGGGAAACGGATCCGGTTTTTGAAAAGAACGATGGTTGAAAAGAATAGTTGGGATCAACCCCTAGAATCTTCAGTCCTTACTCTCCTGCAGATTGGCATGGAACAAAAAATGCACCCATAGAGGAATCTCCCCGCGATTGGATGCGCTTTTGGGTTCCTTCCGGAGTTTGCAGGGCAGGTTGACACTAGCTGATCTAACCGCTAGGTGGTTTGGATTGGCTTTTTCTTGGATTTCAAGCCCCGGTTCTTGTGCGGTTCTTGCGCGGGTCAGTGGGAATTTCAATCCCTCCACTTCTCCAAACCCACGGGCTCAACCACACTTAAGTTGACTGAGAGAAACCTCACCGCTACAGCCGACCTTTTCATGGTTGTTGGGCAACATTTTGCATTTTTGCTTGTTGTGGTTTAGTGGGAAATCCCCACCTAGCTGCTAAATCTAAATTGTTGCTACCCTTCCAACGTCAACCAAGTTTTGAACTTAAGTTCTTTCCCAATGTTGATCTACTTTTAGCAACTAGCTCCCCCAGTAGTGCCCGACCTCTCACCGCTTTTTGGTTGGGAGATTCGGTTCCCCTACTAAAACGTGGACTACAGAAGAACAAGTTGGTACCCACGTATTCTAACCTCTCTACTGGAGGACCTAGTCAAGCTCCCAACAGGTTAGCCTTATATTTGGCTGAGAAACCGCGAAGGGACACCTCAAAGAGGGCGCCAGAGGTCTCCCAAAATTTGGGGAGAAATCCATCCCGATGCGCCCCAAGGCCCGGGACGGAAAATAGCCGCAAGTGCAACTTGCCCCAGTTGCAACCAGTGGGTTGCTTCATTTTTTTTAACTTTTTGGGAAGGGTGTCCCTTTAAAGTCAACCAACCGAAAAAGGATGCCATTTTTTCCCATGGCCACTGGGCATCTGAATTTCTGTGTTTCTTTTTGTTTGGGGCCTTTGGAAGGCTATCGACTAGGGCCCGGTAGCCCAACTTTGAGTTTTCAGCTACGGGCTGCGGGAGTCGTGCTTGTTGAGTGTGTCAATCGGCCGAAGTGCAAATAACTTGCTGCGCTGGGCCAGTGCTTTGGGGCTTTGGATGGGTCATTTTGCACCTTGTGTTCAGGCAACCCATGTTGGTGGAACATTTTCGGCCGACCAAAAAAGCGCGACTGCTTTATGTTTGTTTCTCAGTGCTTCCAACCGGCCTCAGGTTCTTGCTATTTGTTCGTCAGTCTCAGTTTTTCGCCCCCTCCCCCCATCAAATTTCCGCTTCGAGGCTTCCGGAACTCGCCCTTCCGAAGCTTTTTCGAACTTTTCAGGCGCTCGGAGCGCCTGCGAGTCGGAACTTGAAGATGTGCTGGTGCCAGGCGCGCCGAAAGAAACCCCGGGCCACGAGAAGGGGGCAGCCGAAAGCGCATTGCTCATTGCGTGGCGCGTGGCGCTCGGCGCTCGTTGCGTTGCGCGGCTGGTCTGGCAGGTTTTGAACTTGGGAGCGAAAAGGGGCCAGAAATTCTTCAATCGACGATTCAAGACCGGGATCCGGGTCTTTGAAGCAGGTGGATGTTGGAGGTGGCACCCTACCGGGGGTTGCTCCTTGACAAAGAGAGAAGAGAGAGGCCTCGTGGGTGCATTTCATGTGCGTTGCGAACTGCTCAACTCGATTCTCGGGAGTGGAGGGTTCAGAACCATCCAGAGCCAAGGCATGAGACAGATTCATTTTGTTTGTAAGAAAGACAACTCGTTAAAGACTAGGGGGACGCTTGAAAGGGGTACTTTGAAAAATAGGAGTACCCTGAGAAATAGACACTCCGAGTTGAACCAAGGAGGGGGTTGTTGCTTGGTGGTTTGGCGGAAGCAAACATTCCCCATGTACCTCTCCAAATCCCCAAACCACCAATCCAAACCACCAACTTAAGGGTAATCGGACTTTTGGTGTCCCTTCAAACCAAAGACTTTTCAGGAAAAACGCCAGCACCTAACACCAAACCGCCAATTAGAGGGAAGCCGAAACTTATGTTTTGGGGGATCCCCACCCCTTAAAAATGGAGTTGGGGGAAGGGGACCCCTGAAATTCCATATCTGGTTCCATTTTCCCTTTATGGGGAAGACTAGATAAATGGAATTGGGGACCCCCCACCCCCCTAAACCCTCAACCGTTTAACCATTTCTTCTAGAAACAAATGTGTTGACATTCAGGGCAGACAACATATGATTTTAGGGCAGACACACTATCACGCCGACTCGGAAAGTGGATCGTATTTTTCCGTGTGACCCTTATTCCAACGATGGAAGTGGGTTCCTTTCGGTGCTTTTTAAGAAGGAAGGAGTCCACCCTCCGATCATTGTCGGTTCGCCCAAAAGCGCTGGGGGGGAGCGTGTTAGGAAAGGTTTTATGATCCAAAGAACACGCTAAGTCAGCAGTCTAGGTTTAGGGATTGAAGTCTTTGAAAGAGGGTTTCTAGAGAAAGCGAGGTAACATTCATTTGGAGCTGAAATGGCCGCCCCCCCAAAAGGAGATTGCTGAAAGCCATTGTTTTCAGGGTTTGTGGGAGATTCTCAAAATAGATATCCCACAAATGGTTGGTTGTCCTTTCGGTTTCCAAATAGGGTACCCTGAAACGCGAACACAGAGAGAGAGAGGGAGAGAGAGAGAGAGAGAGAGAGAGAGAGAGAGAGCGAGAGAGAGAGAGAGACAGAGAGAGAGGGAGAGAGGGAGAGAGAGAGAGAGAGCGAGATAGCGAGATAGCGAACGAGCGAGAGACAGGGAGAGAGCGAACGAGCGAGAGAGAGGGATAGAGAGAGACACACACACGCACACAGAGACACACGCACACACACATGTAAGTGTTGAACTCAGGGGAGAAGGCTTTGCAGTGCACCTTTCCACTTCCGTGTTGTTTGTCTAAAATGGTGGAACCACTTGGTATTTCAATTGAACTTCAAGAGAAACAACAAGCATTTGTGAGACACGTGGCTTAAAATCAGGACTAAGTTTGGTTTAACACGTATCCAATCCACAAGCCTATTCTAAGTTGGAGGCCCCCCGAAGGAGAGAAGCCTCTGATCGCCTCTAGGCCTCTAGTGAGAGGGGCAATCCATAGGATGGCATGGCTTGAGCCATCTATCGCCGTGACTAAAAACTCGAAAACTCGGGTTCTAGCCCAAGTGGCTGACCACTTGCTAAAGTTTATTTGGGCGGAACATCCATGTGGGGGTTGATCACTATTCCTGGCGCCCAAATGACCATGAGTAATTTCCCCCATTTTATGTTGAAGCATCCAATTTTTTTAGCGGTTTCCAACCAATGGTCATCCCATGTTCATCGAACATTTTGATCAACCCCGAGTAGGATTCCAAGGAGGATTATCAGGTATCTTTCAGTGGCTTGGATTGGTGGCTTGGGGAGTTGAAGCAATCCACAAAGAAGCCAAGGATTCTAGAATGTTCCTAGCTTGGGTGCGCGCATCTTCGCTTCCGAGCAAAGCCAATTCTGTGCCAGGAAGGCCTGCACTGGGACAACGACGTGCGGAAGGGTGTGGCATCGCTGGTGCCGCGGACAAATGAAAAAGGCAAGCGGCAGACTGGGAATACCCCTTGTTGGCTCTTGGTGGCTCCCAGCCATCTCCTTAGCTTTTTAGCCTTTTAGTGTTTAGTGGTAGTGTCCATTTAGCAGGGGATCGGAGGGCAGCACAAGGCTTGTATCTGGGCTGTGGCGTATCGAAAAAAAGCCCCGTGGACCCATGGTTTTTCCATTGACCGGTCAGACCTTCAAGGCCCGTTCCCGACTGCCTCGCAAAAAGGACCCCCACAAACATGTGGGCATGGGTCAAAATTAAGCCACCAGGAGACCACAGGAATTGGGTACCAGGGTTCCATTTACCAGGGTTCCATTTGGGTACCTATTGTTGACCCACAACCATCTCACCCTTTTTGGCCAAAGTGAGGTTCCTTTGGCGAGATGTTGAAAGGAGAATATAGGCAGCCCTGAAACTGCAGGTTTCGGGAAGAGCAGAAGATATGAGAACAACTTTCGGTAGCGATCCTGGTTTCCGAGAACAGGAAGTTTTCTGGACTCGCTTGTCCAAAGCCGACCTGTCCCGTTTGGCCTATAATAGTCAAGGTTTCAGGACTTGGTGACTCCCAGCCATCCGGTTCCTTTGCTGTTTAGATCCTTTCAGTCTTTAGTGGTAGTTTCCGAATTTAGCCCACTGAAAGTTACCTAAGGGTCATGACCCTCCAATGCAGACCCCCGCACCCTCCAACGGAGAACCCCGACCAATTCCTCACGGGCCCTCAAAAACAACCCATTTGGAGGGCCCAAAACCAGTCAGGACCCTTAGGGTAGTCACTTTGAGCGGGGGATCAGAAAACGTGCAGCCCAGAGGAGCTAGCCTTCTATATTTCCATTTGTGGCTTTAGCGACCGCAAATCCACTGGACCCAAAGGGTCCATTTGGGCCATTTCGCTCCAACCCAATGCCAGGTTCGCGGAAATACGGACAAAAGAGGTCGCTGTGTATGGAAGCCGGCTGGAAACCAGGGGTACGGCCAAGAAAAGATGTCGCCGGGTATCCCATGAAGCGGAAAAGGGTGGAACCCATCCAGCGGAAAAAACAGATCTCGCGACGCGGAGAAATCCGAGGTGCGGCAGGGCCTGACGCCCCGCGTGGAGATCGCCTCTGATGAGGCGGAACTCGATCGCTAGCGATCCATGCAAGAGCCGGGAATGAGTTGGACAGAGTCTGAGCCCAAGAAAAACCATCCACGATCCGGTTTGCCTCAAGAAAAAATCCCCAGGTTCATTCCGAAGCCCTGAGAAACGGAACTGCTTTAAGGGAACTCCCAGATCGGTTCATTCCCAAAACCTGGGATGGGTCAGCGAACTTTCTCTCGCGCCGAGATGGCGGATGTGTCTTGTGAACATGGGTGGCTCCCAAAATGTTTGACTCGGACGCCCCCAAAATGGCGCAACGGTTCGGTCAGCCTTTTGGCTTCCAGGAAAACACCACAGGACAAAAAAAGGTTCCCTCAAAAGAGGGACACACCCGCATCACCTTTTTGGCCAGCCTTGGGTCCTGTCAATTGCCAGAAAAGGCCTGGGCCAAATTTTGCTCATGACTGGCCAAGCCCCATGCGCCCAACGCGAAGCCGTGTGTGCTTGGGGATTCCCTTGAATATCACCTAACACAGGAGTGCCGTGTGTTGTCCCACCACTGGGCTTTTGAAGAAATGCGTCATTTTCCGAGGTGGCTGTTTTTTTTTTTGGAATCCCTGGTGTGTTGCTTGACAAAACAGGGATCGGAGGGGCAAGTGCTTGGAGGCAAAGGCAGGGGCCCACAGTGGTAGAAGCCAGACCCGTAGTGCGTAACAATCAGATAGCACATGCACCCCCAGTTGTGATCCACTCATTTCCTTGGAACTGTATCTATTGGATAAATATGCTAAGTGTTTGCTACTCACTATTCCCGGAGGTTGATCATGGAACCTTGAAGGCGGATAGCAAGTAGCGGTTGGTGAGTCAGTGCATGGTCGAACATGATGTCCATCACCCTAGAAATCTCCAAGTCGACGTCTGTGATTGCTTCATCATTTTACGACTGTTGGTTATGTGCCGTTTCGCTTTATTCGGGGGCTGTAAACAACCAGACATGCTGCTAGCAAAGAAAGGTTTGGGATCTTGAAATGTGACATTGGCAGTTCAGTTTCGCGAAACTGTGACTCGACCCAACCTCAAGGACATGTTTTGGTGTGGGTTCTGGAGGTACACAGAGTATATACCACTTATATAAGCCTTACAAGGTTGTTTTTGAATTGGCATGATTGGAATGGAACAGGTCCCTGTTTCTTGTAGAGGGTAAACACCAATCAGAGGCTGAGTTTGGGTCTGGAGCATAGTGGCAAACAAAAAGGACCTCCCTCCAATGAACATGGAACCTGACGTTTGGGGGTCCTGGTTTGGACCATTTTCCTTTGAAAGGGATCCCCGAAAACCAGGTCAGAAACAAATCCAACTCCAAACCACCCATCCAAACCACAAAAGCTGAGAAGCTGAGTGATCCCTTTGGGCCAAAACCAAACATGGACCAAATTGGAAACGTCAGGTTTGCCGTCCGAACTGGCCACTCCGCATCTCCGCAGGCAGCGGCTCCCTCCTGCGATGCCAGCAGCGATGGGCTGTGGTACGGCTGTGTGGGGCCGCCCAGTGGACCACATGGATCAGGTGTCATTACTTTGGTGCATTTTGCCTGGGGGCCTGGATGTTAGGACTTCAACTGTTTGTCACCTAATGGGTTTTTCATTACGCCACTAAAAGTTAAACGTTTAGCAGGGGAGCAGAAAGCAACCAAGATTATGTTGACGGTTTCTGGGGGTTAAAGTCAGAAAAGGGCTGTTTCCCTTTAACCCACCGCTCAGGTGGTGACTTTGACCAAAATAATGAGGCCAGTGGATTTCGGTCCTACGTTTCCATGTCCTTCCATTTGGTTTGGAATTGGTTTCTGCGTATTTTCACCGTCACCTGGTGTTTTGTGTTGGAATCTATCACTATTGTTTTTGTTTCCAAGACACGTAAGCAAATGGAGGTGTCCGTTTCAGGATTGGGAAGTCAGGTACCCCTTAATCGGTTGTTTTGATTGCTGGCCTGGGGGTTGGAACCTATGGTTCTTGTTCAGGGCAAATAAAGATCTACTAGTCTCCAAACCACCAATCGAAACCACCGATTGAGTCTGTCTTTTTTTTAGGCGCCCCAAAAGTGCGTGGTTTCCTTTGGGTTTCCTTTACTCACTTCCTGAGTTGGCTGTGGGTCAAAACCAATGGTACCATTTTTAGGTAGGTGCACCACCCATTTTAGAACCTAGTTTAGTGGGGATTGGGATGTTCACTGGGGGCTAACCGGGCTTTTGACCCATGGCCAGTCCAAAACCCAAGCAACACGGGGTGCCAACTCCAAAAAAAGCAACTCCAAGAAGAGGGAAGCCGCTGAAACGCCGCATGGCTGAACCAGCCCCCCTTTTCAATTCTGGCGGGCCAGCCATTGAGCCCGAGCCAGGCACCAGAGGAAATCATTGCCAGACTGGAAAGGCGATACCGCTCTCCTCGTTTGGTGTTTTTGGTTTTTCGATTTGTTTTTGTTCCCCGGGGGGTCCCGTTTTCTTGGTAGTTCCCAGCCATCCGGTTCAACTTAGGTGTTTAGGGTGTTTTTTGCTCGTTGTGCGGTTGGGTTTCCGAATTTAACCCACTAAAAGTTAAACTTTTAGTAGGGGATCTGAGGTGGCTTTAAAAGAGAACCAAAAGGAACACCCAAAACCATTCTGTGGGTCTAAAGAACAACACGTATGCGACGCGGGGAAGCTTCCCAAACCCTTTGGAGGGGGGGCTTCAAGCATATTGTGCTAACCTACCAAAGGTTGGACAAGCAAACAAAAGATGGTGTCCAAGAGCTCCAAAAGATTTCCCACCTCGCAAGATTTGTTCAGCTGGATCAGGTGATGATGAGCCGACGCTGGGACACCACTGTGATCCCTCAGGCATGGGTAGTCGGAATGCTGGACTTGAAACTGTTTGGAAGATCATTTTAGTCAATTACTTGCCATCGCACCTGATTGTCACATTGACATGTTCTTGTGGGAAGCAAGCGAGCTGTCTAAGCTCCATTTGGACAGATCCGGCAATGGTGCCATTGATTGAACATACATGTGTTTTAGTTTATTGGGCATCCGACGCTCGTGCTCTTGTGCGCCGTCCAAGCACCCCACTATTGGCGGCTCGGAAAGTATCTTGGATTTTAGGGTAGGCAACATCCGACACTGAATCTGCAAATGTGTTGTTTGTATATCCGAGAGTCAGGCAAAAACTCAACAGACATCGGGGATGATGTTGGGCCCAGAGGGCGTATGAGGGCGTCCTTCGTGCTTTGTCCTTGCCATTGTTTTGCGGGGTGCCGTGGGTGCTGTGGGTTCCGTCGGAAGATGTGTAAAAACTGCAGATGAGAGCGCTGCCGTAAGCCTCAGGACGAAAGAAGCAATACTTGAAGGCGTATGAAATAGGAAAACAATGGCCATGGCCCACAAGGAGATGTGTCAGTTTTTTCTTTGCCTTCTGCGCTTTTTGGTTCTGTAAGCATTCGAAGCAATGAACTGTGTGGAGTTATTGCCTTTCTGTAGGCGATCAGGTGCGTGATGGAAAATCACGAAACAAGCATTTTGTTGTGTCCCATGGGTGTTTCCCGTTGGCTCGTCTTGCTGACCACTCGGTGCCATCGGGATACCAAGGGCCCCAACGTGGTTTCGACCCAGAAAACTTAGATGTGATTCCCATGTGGAGTCCCTGCGTATGGTTCACTGTGCATGGCTTTGAGGTCTGATCTCCTTGGGTATGTGATTAACATATGCAGCTGTGCCAGTAGCCCTATGAATACTTAAGCCATTTCTGGTGTTGCGTGGATTTTGGTAACCAGAGGCTTTCTGTTTGTCTCCCACAAAAGGGCCCAAAATCATGTCGTTGGTCGCTTGCTTTCCCAGAGCCAAGAAGGAGTGCTCGAAAATTCGGGGAGACATCCGATCCAGGTTATTCAGGTGGTCAGGGGTTTAAAATGAAGCACAAATAAGGCCGCATGATGCGAAATCAGCCAATTATTGCAGCCAATGCAAGCGCCGAAAAGTGGAGAGCAGAATGCCAAACAAGGCGAACAACAGCACAACAAGAAGCAACTACATTCAACTACCCCACAAGCCCGGTATACTTTTAGGGAAGGCAACTCTAGTGGCAAACCAAAACTGCGCTTGCCTTAGCCACTAGCCCCCAAAGCCCATAGAAGAGTGACACTATGGGATCACGTAAAACGGGGCCCGAACCTCGGCTGAGGGTTTTCCGCCGGCTCTCGCAGGTGATGGCGCGCACGGCGCCGGCGGAGGAGCAGCTAGACATGGCGCTGCGGAAGCTGGACGCGTGCCACCGCCCTTTGGACCTGGTCACTCCCCTAGGTCCCCCAGCGAAAGGGTGCCCGGCCTCTCACCCACTTTTTGGGGGTTTTGGGTTCCCCTGCTAAAATAGACAAAAAGAAAACAGGGTGCCCTTATTCTAACCTCTCTACCTTCTGTGTTGGTCGCTCCCGGAGCTCGTGGACGTCAAACTCATTTTTCTGGGCTGGACCGAGTTGTAGTGAGAATTAGAAAAGACTTTCTTAACTTTTTTGAGAAAGAAGAAGACTTTGAAGTGTGGATGGCCCCTTTTTTGGGCCCTCCCCTCGATCGGAAGTGAGCTCCCTGTCCGTGCCAGACCTCCAGCGCCCTCCTTTGGGAAGTTTCCCATTGAAACGGGAGAAACAAAAGACGTGTCTCCCGTGCTCGGGGTCTAGAGGATTCTCAGATTTGCGTGTCGACCTATGGACACGAGAAATCCTTGTGGTGTCTGCTTGAAATACTAACCAAGAGGAAGCCCAAGGACAACCATGGGGGGAGGTCCCCTATTTTGAGACATATGTCTATGTCCTTTCAAGGGTACGGAGACATAGATGGGTTTCACTGGTTTAGATTGGGCTAATTTCCCATTTACTCGGGAAAACCCATCAATTCACCAAAAGGACGTCTATGCCAGTGGTTGTATTCCCCTGGCCTCCCTAAAAAACCGACGCGCCGACGCGTGAGGCCTGTCTCCTGGTGCATCTTTGCGAGTGCTGGGCGTGCGCAGCGGCCAAGCCACAGATGCCGGGGAGCTTGGAGTCGATCCCGAGTTTGTTTTTTTTTTGAGGGCTACCTTTGTTCTAGGGCTTGCTAATTCGCCGTAGGGTAGCTTCCATTTCCATTCTTTCCAGGGATCCGGATCTTTCTAGAAAGCCTCCAGAAGCCCATGGAAAACGGATCCGGTTTTTGGAAAGAAGGATGGTTGTAAAGAATGGACCAGGAATCAACCCCAAGAAAATGTTCAGTCCGGTGAGTTTCCCTTTGGGGGTGACCTGGTTTTTGGGAGGCTTGAACATCATGTCAGTTCCGGGATTCAAAGGGATGGATCCCGGATTGATCAACCCATTGGGGAACTTGTTGGGGATCCCCAAGAAATGCAGGGTGCAGCACTTCATGGAAGGGGGAGCCCTTTTAAATCAAAGGGTCCCCCAGTAGCTACTTAGTGGTCTTTGTGTTCTGTTTTGTGAAGTATGGTAATTTGCCCAGATTTGCTGCTGTTTTCGTTTGCAGGTAAGCCAAGTTTGTTTCAGGTAGTTCAAGATGGTTCCTTTGGGCACCTACTATACTGCCAAGTGCAATCACTGAGCGTGCGCGGTTTTGCCGGTTTGTTTTGTCGCACTGTCGGTTGTAGACTCCAAGTCGGAAAATGACACTCAACAAGACACGTACCCGGGGTCACGCACCACGGTAGTCCTTTTTTAGACCGCCTTGGGCCTTGGGGGTTTCTCAAGTGGTGACCCTTTTTGGGGTAATAAAAAGGGAAACCAAAAGGAAACAACCCTTTTTTGGCATTCCCCCATGTGATACAAGCCACCTTGCAAATGGTTGGTTCCCTGGAAAGTGTGCAATTTGCTCTTGGAGGCATGTCAAGCTTGCCCCTGTGCAACCCCCGCCCCCCGCTTCTTTTGTCCCCATGTCATGCGGGGTATTTTTGAGAGGGGTGGAATCCGGACCAGGGAGGGAGCCCCGTTTGATTTGTTTGTTCCTTGGCACCACCCCCCAAAAAAGCACGAAAGCGCCTGTTTTGCAGCAACTGCTAAAACATGTCTATTGTTTGTTGTTCCTTTTTTCAGAGCATAGATAGAAGTTTCTTTGTTACATGTGTTGTTGTTGTTCCCCCCCCGTGGTTTGCAGTGTCTTTTCTGGCTGGTACACGTCTTTGAGCCGCTTGCTTCCAGGCACAAGGCGGCGCCTTTGATGGAAGAGAGACCAAAAACACACGGCTGGAGTGCATTTGGCTGTGCAACCGGCGTTAGATATTGCAAATCAGCCAGCCACATCCAACCAGAAACCAAGGTAGAGTACAGATGCCTCCTCCTTGGCATATTTAGTTTCAAGCATCCACCACTCCTGGGTGTTCGGCCGAGTCGGAAAGCTGCACGGTGGACTTAATCCTGTTGAGTTAGGCGTCAGCTGGGTAATCACCTGACTCAATGGGATGACAATTTCAGTGGTGAAAATGGAAAAGTTTGGACTTGTCTCTACCGCTATTGGGTTGGATCTTTAGACTTTAACTTTTTGGATTCCCTCATACTTCCTTTTAACCGATTGAGAGAGAGCTTTGACTTTTTGCTGGGGATCTACAGCACCCAAGTTGTGTCGCATCAATCCTGTCGCGAAGTTAGGTCACGAATGTCAAAGATCCTACTGTGGATGATTGCGAAATCCGTTTGGCACCACCTAAGAAACCTTGGGATGACAATGTCCTGTAAATACCAACAATGGCTTCCCACGGTTTCAAAGTGGTGCAGGATCTCGTCCATCCACAGTACTGGCTTTGGACAAATGCGGCGACTGTGCATCTTTTCTATACCTTCAACAGAGCGAGGTGTGCAATATGTGGGTTGATCCTCGGAATATGAGCATGTTTTTTGCGGCTGCACGGTTCACCTTCGTTTGGTTAAAGGAATAATCAAAAGACCAACAACTATTTTCGCGGTCCAAATCCATTATGTTGACACAACATACTGTGGATGGACTAAATCCTGCCACAACAAACAATGATTTTAACCATGGTTTCAAACTGGCGCGAACGGATTTCGTCCATCCACACTATGTGTTAGTTGAGCCCAACCAAATCCACTTCCCAACGGGGACCGCACGCGAGGCTCCGGCGGTGCCAGTGCACCACTCCCGGGTGTGCTCCATCGTGTACACGCCCAGCCAAGGAGCAAAGCGCCTGCAATTGTTCTGCCCAGTTGCCCACCCTTTTTGGGGGTCCTCAACTTGCTTTTGGCTGTGGGTCATCAGGAATGCCCTAAATGGCTTGCCCAACAGAAGCAACAACAAAAACCAAAAAGTCCCCAGGTAAACTTGATTTTGACCCATACCCGCTTTGCAGTTTAAGGTTGACGAAAGATGGCCAACTTTTCTGGGGTAGAAGCGACCAAAAAGAAGGCGCCCGCAGATGTCTCCGCCTATCGAGAAGAAGAAACGAGAAGGGGGTCCTTGCCGTCTTGGGAGATGCCTCCAAAATTGGATGGTTTTTGCTTTTGGGGTCGTGGATCACAATCCACCTGGTGGATTCTGAAACATACAACCAATCTCTCACTCCCTGAATTGAAGACCATTTTAGTGGTAAATAAGTTTAGACTCTTTTTGGCCACTCTGGAAGTGAGATTTGGGAATTGCAACCAAACCGGCCAGGTTGAAACCAAGCGCGGCAAGAATTTGTTGTCAAACTTGTCCCGGCGGCAGCCTTGCGTGGAAAAAAAGGCAGAGAGCACACAAAATCCCTAGATTTGGGTGTGTCTGTTTTGAGTCTACCCTATTTTGTGGTCTTAAAGGGAAACCAAAAGGAAAGCCTCCATTTTGGGGGGTCCAACCTTAAAATGACTCACTCATTTGCCTTGTTGGTTGTTGTGAACCTTTTTTGGGCCAACTCAAAGTGAGATTCCTGTTGGTAGGGTGATGCTTCAAGGGGACTGATAGGGAATGCTGTAGTGTAGCAAGGATGAACCTCCTGCTTGATGGAGTGTAAGGTCACATGTTGGTGCGTGTGTCCTGCTTCCTGATGGAGGAATCTCGTTTGCGGAGCGGATGTGGCACCCAGCAGAAGCAAAGCAAAGTCCCCAAATCAGACCCAGTAACAACAACGGGCGGATGGATTTTCCTGGGCTTGCGAAGCCCGGGCGGTTTGTTTCTCCATGTTTTGTTTGATGGCTTCCCTCATCGAAACTGACCCCCCCCCCCTGTCAGGCACCCCCCCTGTAGTGCCCTTTTACCTTTTTTTTGGTTTTTGGTTTCCCCTGCTAAAATAAACTACGGAAAAACAAGTTGGCACCAACTTATTCTAACCTCTCTACTGCAGGACCTAGAAAAGGCAAACCACAGCGTAGGAGTGACATGGACAGCGGAGACTCCAGCTCTCCACTGCAGGGAGCCTCGGAAACTCCCCAAAAGATGGACTGTCGAAGGTCTTGAAGGTACTTGGGTGTGCCCTCTCACATAAAACAGGTGAAACATCCTGCCCTCTGGACACCTGACAGAAAAGATTTCCCTCCAGGCGTCCATTTGCTGAAATGAAGATGGTTAAATGTCCCCTTGTTGGTGTTAAAGGAACTCGATTTTATTGGACATATATATATATATATATGTTTCCAGGGGTCTTACGCAAATGGAGGCTTGGGTGTTTGATTCGCCAAGTTAGTACGAACATGGGTAACGTAGGCTACGACCCACTCAGAAGTTCCTCTAAGAGGGGGTGTAGCCCTCTTATTGGTGGATTGTAACGCAAGTGGCTGACCACTTACCAACTTGGCCGAACATCCAAGTACCCTTGTTGGGGAAAAGGACGCCACTGTTTTAGGGCTATCTCAAGACTCAAGACACACACAAATATGACATGTGAGTAGTTGTTCAGCACCCCTTGCCTCCTCCCATCCACGGTAGATCCTGACAGGGGTCATGGAAAAAACATGTGCCAAAAGAAATGGACTTTCTCCATGGCATTTTTTAGTGAGGAAGGCTGTTTTGTTGTCAAAGGGAGGGTTCCCTTTGACATCTACCAAGAAGCCCAGGAGGTATCCAGCAGCCCTGGAACCGATCCCTTCAGCCCCAAAAACCCACCCCGCACGAGCCCTGGGCCTGACAGCTTTCAGCTGGAGAAAAGGCTGATGGCCAACCCGGCGGCCAGACGTGAAGAGTGCAACTTGTTGATTGCTTCTAGCCAGAAGGGGATTCGGCGAATTTTCTTTTCCAGGCCCTCTTTCCTTTTTGCCCTTTTTTTTCCCAAGGAAAACAAGGAACATGGTTTGCATGTGATCAAGCCTCCCCTTTGCTTGGATTTCCATAGTCAATGCTTCGTTTTGACCGTGGCACATATCTTTCCCAGACCAAAGCGTGCGCGAATGAAGCTCCGGTTGAGTCTTGTCAAACAGTTGGTACCAGTCTCCAAGAGGTATAGAAATCGGGTCGAAAAAGATGAGGTGGAAGTGAGTTCGTACCTGGCCCTGAATGGCACCAATTGTCACTAAGCCACAATGTCTGCCCTTTTGGCTCCTTTTGTCCAGCATATGAATCTGACGAAGGAACCATCTCAGTGCTTGGTGCCTTTTATATCCCCACCTAGCTCATGGTCCATGAAGGGGTGTTTGCATGAAAAGTCCTGTGGCCGTGAAGGGACTTCGGTGCGCGTACCGTACCGGAGGCGCCACAGAACCTGGCACCTGCACCACCACGCCTTGCCGGGAGCCACAAGCTGACCGAGCGCTGGGAGTCAGAAACTTCTCGCTGGGTAAGACAAATCGCCCCTAGCCCTGTTATTGGGGGTCCAACCGGGCACCTGGAATGAGACACAGACAATATGGAGGAACTCAAATTCCCCAACCCGGGCTACTCATGTTCGAATGCTGTTCTTTGTCTTTGACTTTGGGGTCCTAACAGAAACCAGACCTCGTAACAGAAAGCACCTCCAATGTGGCCCCATATTCATCAACCCCTGCATACGGGGGTGCTTCTCACTGGGTGTTGTGGGGAATCAGACCGCTTTTGGAGGGGGACCCCCCCCCTATTAATAAACTGGGGTTGATAAATATGGTCAACATTATCCCAGAACCGCATTGTATTCTTGGCTGCTGGAGCAAAAGGTCCAATGAACATGGGATGACCATTGCTTGGAAAGCCACACAAGCTGCTATATATATATATATCCCACTAAATGGGAACAGCTACCCTTGGTCATTTGGGGGCCAGGAATATTGGTCAACTCCCAATTCAATCAGACAAAAGGGTATGCTTCTCAGGTCTTTGGACCCTATCCGGTCAACCATGGGCCGAATTTGCAACCGCAATCCGTGTGGCAAACGTGGGACGGTCAATTACCACAACCTTCTCAAGGCTTCCCGGCGTCCAAAATTCACCGCGCCTGCGTAGGTCTGACCAAGATTCCAGGAAGAAAGGGCTGAACTTGGCTTTGAGCTTCCGGACGCGCACGCAACGTTTGGCCAGTGTACGAGCACCACGTTTGGCCAGTGTATGAGCACCGCAACGTTTGGCCAGTGTATGAGCACCCAAACCCGCACGTTTTGTTCAGCACACAATGACACCAAAGGTGTTGAAGTTTGTCAACCCGCTTGGTTCGGTGCGTGTTGAACTCATGTCAGGAAGAGACGCGGGGATGTGACTAAGAGTTTCTTGCCTCAGGTTCCCGGAGTAGGCAAATCATGTACGGCCCATGCTTTGTTTGTTGGGATTTCTCGGCTCAGATTGGTTGACTGGACCAAGAAACAGGCTGTGGACTGACCCCACAGACTTGCGGGCGTGAGCTTCAGCTCTTTGAACAAGGGGGTTGACAACATGGCAGTTGAGTGGGCTCATTGCCAGACTTGACCTGCTTCTTTTTGGGTGTGTCCTTTTGTTAAGGGAATTCCCTTTTGGTTGGTTTTAAGGCTTAAGGGGAAACATAAAAGGAAAACCATCATTGGGGGGTTCCAACCTAAAAAGGACGAGCCACCCTCAACGCCCCTTAAAGGTTTTGTTCTCCTCAGCTGATCAACTCTGGGGTAGACTTAGGATGCATTTTACATGTTACCGGTGACTCAAAGTGAAGCAAACAATAAAATATACATTCTATAACTGGGCCTAACTCTAGTCATGAACTTGGGCTTCAGAGTCCCAAGTGAGTTGCGGCACAAAACGACGTGCCTGAGGCGAATGCCGACGATCCTCGGTCTGGGCCTCTGGGCCTACAGTCGGATCGATCTGACGTCCGCGCGAAACGGAACCGAGGCTTCGAGTTCTGCTTCTCCGTGGTTGGCATTTCAAGTTGTTCCTTTGATTTGCTTCTGTTTATTTTTAGTGGGTCGGACAGGTTGGACAGGTCCCCTGTTGGTTTGAAAGGGTTCTAGAACTACTGTGTTTCCCTGTGGAGTTAAGCAAATAAGACACGTTTAAGGATCTGGACATATTGGCTGACTTTTTCCAGGGGACTCAAGCAAATGGAGAAACGCCAATTGGGAAAAGCACCTAATACGGCGTGAGGGTGTTGTAGGTGCTACTATGGATGGACAAAATCCCGCACCAGTTGGTAGGTGGTTTATCCCACACACACACACACACGGTTTCATCCATTCCAGCAGTATTGCCCATGACACCCTCGAGGCCTTATGCGGCGATATCCAGAGATATGGCCCCCTATAGTCTTCCCTGGAGGTGCATTCTTTTCCGGGCCCTGTCTTGTGACGATCAGCGCGGTGGCTCGCGCACACGGGATGCCCCCATCCCTGTATTCTGCCACAGCCGAACCGCTGCAGAAGAATCAGTGAAGGATTCTAGGATTCTATGCGTTTGGGATGCCGAGTGGATTCTTGCACACTGAAGTGGTGGATTGAGATCAGAGTCCGGAAAACGACAACTTTTTGCCCACAGACTTCAGGCCCAGATTTGGTTGGTCCGATTGCAACGTTCAGGGAAGCAAGCACGGAGTGAGCAGAAAAGAGACGTTTTGAGCAGAAAGGAAGAGACAATGAGCATAAACAAGGTTCGTACTGCGGAAAAAGTTAGGTTTTCGAGAGATCCCCTAAAAGGGTGCCCCTTTTTGTTTTTTGGGTTGGTTTTGTAGGGGAAGACTCGTGGGGCCAGAAATGTCCCTTGTTTTCCGCTCCTTACGGTCTCTTCTGCCAGACATCGGAGTCTCTTTGTGTTGTTAGTTTCAGGATGTTACGTTTCTTGGCCGCGAGAAATCAAGGGATGCACCATGATAGCAATCATGTGGGTGTGTCCTTTTTGAGGGAACTACTTATTTGGTTGGTTTTGAAGGGAAAGCAAAAGGAAGCCAACAGAAAATTGGAAGCTATATGCATTTTTGCAGACACAACCAACTTTCAATAGTTAAGACCGCACTTTGGCAACAGTGCCCGGTTGGTGGAACCAACATAGAAGTTCAACTTGAAACTAACAAACATGGGTTCTCAGCCAGATACACTCGTCTCGCCAAAAGACAGAGAGAGTCTCTCCTTTTTGGGGGGCTTGTCTCTTTCCATGTTCTGGGAGTCTCAAAACCAATTAGGAATTCACACTTCAAATCTTCAAATATTGTTTGGGCGTGGGCCATTTTAGTGGCACGCACCAGGTTTGTTTTGCTCAGCTGAAAGCTATGGGGTCAATAGTCCCAGGCTCGTGCGGGTTTGGCAGCTTTCACGGGTTCCGGTCCAGGAAGCTCGAGGTTTTCTTTTGGGGCCCAATGGGGATGTTGAACCCCAAATCGGGTTCTTAGAGTGAAGCAAACAAAAACCAAGCATTTTGGGCCTATGTTCAGAACCCCCCCCCAAAGCCCCAAAAGCATCAAAACAGACATACTCCCCAACACAAAGTTTCCCCCAAAGGTTATGGCTTTTGGGTTCGCACATCATAGACGTAGCACTGAAGGAAGTGGCGGAACGTAAGTTAGGGCATTCGGGCTCAGGACCGCAAGCTAGAGCTGCGGACCCCTCAGGCGAGTTGGGCGATGGGTCGAAGGCTTCGGTGTCGGACCCAAACCGATGGCTCGTCCATTTTGAGGTTGGACCCTCCAAGATGAATTGTGTTTTTTCTTGTTGAGTTCCCTTTAAAACCAAGCCCAGCCCAACAAACAAATGCGAGTTGATGGTTTATCTTTGGGGTCCAGAACGGGTACCCTCAGAAAAGACCCAAGCCCATGCAAGAGATTCATGGCAATTGGGGAGTTCTCAAAAAGGCCGATCACCTTTTGCTTGGTTAAAGGGGAGACACAACACATCCCATTTTACGACTCCCCAGTTTTAAGCAACATCCAGATATGCGCACCTAAGGGGACTGTCAACCTTCACTTACCCGGAAACCCGACGGCAACACCTGAGGCAAGCATTGCGACCCTCTACCTGGGAGTTTGGCGAACCTGTTCCGAATGGTAGGGACCCTTTTGGCCCATATCATCCACCTCAACTACATCACGTGAACATTGGAAGCAGTTGCTCGCATCATCTCCCAGGGCGGGAACCACTCCTGACTAGTATGCTTCGGATGAATCAGAAGATGAAACCTGGGTGCGATCAGTAGCAGCCACAATTTCAACACAATGCCCAATGGAAACAACTAAGGGCCCCAGTTCTTCAGGTGTGTTTTGTCCAGATTCTCAAAAAAGGCACCTCTCTCAGTCCCCCAGCCGCCTATCCCTTTTCAAGTTTGCCAAGGGTCCGGTTACTTTGTGGCTTCCGGATTGGTCATTGTTGCTCGGAACCTTTTCTGCAACTCTGGTTCATAGGTGGCCTAGTTGTTTTGTAGAACATCGATGGCCCTGGTTGACCTGGTTGTCACCTATGCTTTGCATTTTTGCCCCCTCGCCAGGTCTTCTGGAGGCGAAATTGAAGTTGTCTCACGGCAAAACACGCACAGACTCATGTACCAACTCCAAAGATATGTCCCTACAAGTAGGGACAACCCCCCTTTCTATGGCCTGGTAAGAGAAACCCTCAGCTTCGCCTTTTCCTCTTAACCACCGTTGATTCAGTTTTTGTTTGGGAAGCCTTTCAGCTCGATCGAAAGCTGGTAAGCCGACGCATCCAGCGCCATGGTCTCAAAAAGCCTCTTGGGCTTGGTATGGCTGGTCAACCCTTTAGGTTTTGTTGCCAAATGCAATGGTTCCTAAGGGACAACTTGCCAGGTTCCCTCACATCCATTTGTGTGTGCGTGGTTGTGAGTTTGTTTTTTTGTTTGACTCTCAGTCTGTCTTTGTCTGTGTGTCCGTCTGTCTGTTTGTCTGTCTGTTTGTCTGTTTGGTTGTTTGTGGTTATTTGTTTGCTTCATTTGCTTGTTTTTGTTTGTGCGTGCTGTTTGCTTGCTTGCTTGTCTGCTTGCTTCCTTGCTTGCTTGCTTGCTTTCTTGCTTGTCTGTTGGATTGTTTGCGTGCTGTTTGCCTGTTGCTTGCTGGTTTTTGAGGCTAGCTTCCCACGTGTGCTCGAGTGTCAGGGCCGCCGCTGCTGGGCCTGCTCCGAGAGCGGCAAGGAGTACACCTTCAGAGCCACGCGGAAGACATGGCCTCGCTGGTCGATGTTTTTGTTGCCTCGGCTCGTCTTTTGGCTTTTTGCAGTTGGCCCGAGATTTTGAGACAAACTCGAATTTTGCGACCCACCTTCTGTTGGGGTACTGTGTTTATGTTTTAAGGGTTCTTCGCTGCAAGACAAACTCGAAGCATCCATGGGCCTCGGTGGTGTGCATGTGCGTGTGCGTTCCTTGTATGCATCTTGAATGTTCGAAAGGCCCCCGCAGTTGGTTTTTGCGGGTTCACGTCCAATGCAGAGAACACCATGTCTCAACATTGCTTTCGCCACGCAGCTTGTGGCCATTTCCTTATCAACAATTGCCTCCATTTCTTAGGTGACCGCTTTTTCGGGACTCCTCAGAACATATTTCACATAAGTTGACGATTAACTTTGTGGTTCCCAGCCGTCCGTTTCCGCTCGTTTTTAGTTCTTGTGGATTTAGTGGCCGGGTTTCCAAATTTCCCCCACTAAAAGTTAAACCGTTCGCCCGGGGATCTGAGGACAGCCAACTTACCCAGGGCCAACGAACGTCTTATCTTTCTACATCGGAGTTGTTTTGCGCCTGGCAATCCTATTCTCGGATTGTTTTGCGAATTTTTCGCGGCGTATCGGTTTTATAAGTTGATAGATCTCAGTTTTGGAGCCCCCTATGGGGTTAGTGTAATTCTGTATTTACAATATGTGTCAAAATAGGGGCTAGCGCGGCGGTCTACCCCCAACTTTCATGGAGCCATCCTTTTGGAGCCATGAAGAGGAAAGCAACTATGCTCCACCAGCCAAAACTTGCTGGTTCTCAGCAGAGAAGGAGGGAATGACCCCATAAACAACCCCCTATGGTTTCCTTCAAGGGAAACCCCAAACGGTTCATTCCCAGCACCCGGAAGGATCATTCCCTACCAATCGCGCCAGCAAGAAAAGGAACTGGGTTTTCTTTTCGCGGTTTCTCCAACAAACAAAAGGTTTAAACTCAGAAACTCCGCGTTTTCCCACCCCACCCGACCTGACGCCGGGCTTTCCTCATTTCACCCCGAGGTTAATGCCATGGCCGAGCACATGGAAGGGCAAGCAGTTTCTTGGTGGCCACCGTGCGCCGGTCGAAAGGGCGGGAAGCCACTGGGATTTGGCTGAGGGTCAAAAGCAATGGGATCCCATTTTGGGGTAGGTGCACCACCCATTTTAGTTTTTTTTAGTATGCTCCTGGCCCCCAGTTTTGACCATCCCAGACGCTCCCAATTGATTTAGGGCCATGTTTTATGTTTTGACACCCCAAACACCTCCGGGGTGTCTAGTGGAGGGTCTGGGTCTTCCATTGAAAGCCCCAGGAGCCTCTGGGGACTGGCAACTGTTCAACCATTTAGTGGTTGACATATAATATGTTTAGTGGTTTCCCAATCAATGGTCATCCTGTGTAAAGGACCTGTTGATCAGCACCCAAGTGGAACCCCTGGTTGAAAAAGGACGCCCCCTAGGAGTTCAAATATTTAGGGAGGCTCACTCCCTGTCAAGCAACCCTTGCTTCGTGGTTTGGTTTGAGATTTGAAGCCCTGGTTCTTGTAGATGGACAACCCCTGTGTTTCACCACCAAAGCACCGGGCTCCAAACCACCAGTTCGAGGGGAGCTGATTGATCCATGGGTAGCACGGGGTGAATTTCCTTGTAGGGATGGGCGACGTCCAGCTGGGCCCAGATGTGTCATGACGCTCATGATGCACCTGAGATTCCACTGCTGGTGACTAGTTAAGCTTTGGGACTCGGATCTGATGACTTGGTTCATAGGTGTAGAATGCAGGACCCGGTGGAACATGTTGTTCTTTAGTTTTGTTGATTGTGGCCTTGTTTAAATCAGAGTAAAAAGGCCCACTTTTGAAAAACAGGAACATGTTGTTTAGTTTATTGATTATGGCTTCGCATTAATCAGAGTGAAAAGGCTGCCCTTCAAAACACGCACCCATTTGCGAACCAAGCAACTGTCGTATGTTCTGCTGCACGCCTCATTTGGACTGGGCAGCCGTGGCCCCTGCGAGCGAGCGCTTGCCAGGTACGGTATCAACAGCCCGCCGATCCTTTGGATCTTTATGGACCTGCGAGGGCGAGAGAAGGGCAAAAAATCGGCGAACTCCCTGAGGTCCTTTACTACCTCTTTCTGGTGGAAAATCCACTTGAGCGGCAAACAGAAGATTTGGATTCTTTTTTGCCTGACTCCCACTCAGGAATTCAGTTGCTTTAAAACGCCAGACCATGCACCCGCACGGGCATACCTAAATGATTCTTAAACAGCAGTTGTTTGAACATGTTTAATCAAGTGGTTGGCTCAAGCGACGCACCAAAGTCGGTCGTGCTCGCATAGTTGATCTACTGTTTTTTTCCCCTGTTGGGGACTTTCTTTTCAGGTGCCCCTTATAGAACAAATACATGGCCTCTGTGTTTTTTCCCCCCGGCTGGTTGCAAGGATGGACATGCCGCTGCAATGTCAATGTTTAGTTTCAGGCATAAGAAGTCCTGATTGAGAATGGATGCCCCTTTCGTACCAGCAAGTTTTACATGGGCCTTTCTCCTGCGAAGTTTTCAGGACCCTAAACAGAGGGACGGAGATTTGGCTGGTAAGGGTGACAGGCAGGGGTGAATATAAGCAGGATTGTGGCTGATCCTTCTTGTTTGCGGCCCTACGGAGGGCGATGAAACCGCTAGGCCTTCATGTAAGCCCACCGTATAAAGCAGAAGACAAGAGCCTTAACATAAGCCTAAGCTTGATACAAGGCCAAAAGCCCATTAGCTGTATATAGCCTTATATACGGCTTATATAGCCCTTATATAGTCTTCATGTGCAACCCTTACGAAAGAAGTCCGAGCCCGATTGTGCAATACGCACTTCGCCGCTCCAACCATGGCAAACAGTCAATTCGAGCTCACACATGTTTCCTCTGATACATTTGCCCTGTTAGCTCCGGCTCCAAAATTCCCTCAGAAAGCGGGCAACCTATATTAGATAATTATAAGGCTTCTATATAGGACTTACGAAAAGGGGTATAGCCTTATATTCTCGTAGAACCAAACAAGACTTGTTACATACCTCCATGGGTCTCAAGTCCCAGAAAACTCCTCCCTTGATTTTTTCGGGCTAAGCGCTCTGCCGATGTGTTCATGTTCGCTGCCTGAGCTAGGTCAGATGGATACCAAAAGTGGTGGTCGCTCAAGAAACGACCGCAGTGATTGGGGTGCAGTGGAAAGGTCACGACCCCAAGTCAAGGGGTTGTTTCCCTTCAAAAACATGAGGGGATGGCATGGGGCACAAAATGCCACAAAGAACTGGAGGCTACTCGTCAATTGGGCTCACACAATGCGTATTGACTGCAGCTTGTGATTATTGCATTGGTGTTTTTGTTCCTTCGTGTAATCAGCACATGTACTTTCGATAGTTCCAATGATGTTTGCCTTCGGTTGGACATAACATTTGCATAGGGTGGTTGGAGATGTTGCACCGGAAGGTTGATTTCATGTGTTAAGCTCGGGCGACAAAGGTGGCGACAAGGTGTTTTCACTTGTGTTTGGCACCTCGCTGCTCCGTGGTACCTTCGCCCTTTTGCTTGCTGGGTGGCCACAAAAGCTCTGGGATGGGTGATTGCCCTGTTCTTTGCAGCACTCCTTCTTTTCAAAGCACAGCTGTTGTTTTCTGGGTTTTTGGAGGTTTGGAAATATTGGGGAAGGTAAGATAGGTGCAACAAGGGGTCCTTGCTTGTTCTGGGGTCACAGGTTGCCACTAAGTTGGGGTTGGACTCCGGGCTGGAAAAGCAGCTCGAAATGGGTATACCTTGTTTTAGGAGACCCTCCTAAGTTGTGGTTGTCCTTTGAAACCAGCAAAAAGGGGGTACCCTAAAAAAGGAAAACCCATATGCAGGACTGCTGGGCCGTGGTAGAGGCTTGCCCCGTGATCGCCGGCTACATGTTCCTGTTCTTCTGCTGTCTCTTGATGCGAAAAGCGGAGGAGCGCCGTGAAAGCGGTCCGCCGTGGAATCAGGGGATCAGTTTCCCCTTTTGACCAGCAAGAACTCAACTTTTGGGGGTGGTCAACTCAAGAGGACATGTTGTAACTGCTAGAAACACTTGGCCAGGTTTTGACGGGGTTTACAAATCGGTTTCGAGTAGGGGATAAATCAGCCCAACAGTTCTATGGTTACAACCCAGATGGCTCCCCACCTCTAGGTCTTTCAGCTAGGTGCCCTTTCTCACCAACTTTTTTGGTTGGGAGGGTTCCCCTACTCAAATAGACTACGGAGCAAGTTGGTACCCTTATTTCAAGCTCTCCACTGGACCTAGACCTTCAATTTGCTATGTGTTGTTTTCATTTGGTCTTTTTTCTTAGGGAATCCAAGGCTGGACATATCTTCTTCTGTTTGCCAGGGGCCTGAAAGACGCAAACATCAAGGCAAGCCAAGTGGAGCCCCCGAGGGCCTGAGGCTTTCATAGGTGCTGACGGACGGCCAGTTAGTAGGTGGTGTGTCAACCACTACTTATAGGGTAATCGTTCCAGCCCCATTTGTTGCATGTCCCGAAAAAGGGCCCAATCAAAGCTGAAAGCCAGTTTTGGGCACTGGCCAAACATCCGAGTAGAGCTTTCCCGGACCGGGTTTGCACTGTTTTCGAGGGAACCCGTGTTAGGTTGGTTTAAGTTTGAGAGGAAACCATGGAAGGAGAACAGAGGTGATTTTCAAGTGTCTTGGTTTCGGGTTGCCTGTGTGTGTTGTGAGTTCTTGAAGATGGTGCCCAGAAAGGGCGGAGAGAAAGAGAGAGAGAGAGAAATCGAAAGAGAAAGACAGACAGAGAGAGAGGGAGCAACACAATGCAATTGCCAAACGGGAGGAAAGTCCGAAATCAGTGTGTGTGTGTGTGGGTTGTCAAGTGTTTTAGTTGTTATTGATTTTGCTTGAACTGCTGGGCAGGTAGGCGTTGCCACTGGCAATATTGCTGATTCTCACACGGTTCTTTGGAATATAAGGCGGTACATTGACCCCGAATGACCCCTGATGACATCGCCCTGACTATTCAGGGCGGCTTCCTTAGACAAGAAGCAAGGAATAGGGACACCCCTCAAGATTTGGGCCCATTCATCCAGTCGCTGCAGACAAGAGGTCCTAGCCTTTGCTTTGCACATGCTACGCGTCATGCGCAGACTCTGCGTGGTTGCTTCACTCCCTGCGTTCGTGAACTTCAAGCAGCTGTTGTTCGGAAAAAGTTCGGACCACACAAAAGTGGGGCATCCAACTTTATTGAGAACAGGCATAGTGAAAGGAACCTTTGAGCGGCAAATGGTTTGTTGGTCCCTGGCCTCTCCGATGTTACTTTCTAGGGTTGGCTGAATGCGAATCAGAATCTGGACATATTGTTTTTTGCATTTGGTGTAGTCTTTGAGGCGCCGACCCACACCTCTTGGCTGTTCTTGGTGTGGGGTAACATGGGTTCCATTTCTGGAGTAGCCCTCAGTAGACTTTTCGCCCCAGTTCCCCTTGTTTGCAAAACGACCCCCGTATCTGCGTCGACGGCCCAAACACCCAAAGGTTGCTTCGGAAAAGCACGGGATTGTCGACACGAGAGAAGGATCCGTCGGTGCTGAAAGGATCTTGCTTTCCGCCTCGAGTTCTTTTTCAGTACCCACAAGTATCGTCTATCCAACAACATGTCTTCGGGCCACGAAGACATGCCCTTCTTGAGGAAACGGAAGGTTTAAGCATTGGTCGCCGATCTCATGATGTGCCGTTTTGGCTTTCTATGTTTTCTTTTATCTTCCTCAACCAAACAAGTTGCTCACTCCCGGAGATCCGTTTTGAACTTTTGGCTTTTTGGGGTTTGGACCATTCTAGTGGCAACCAAAGAGTGTGTTTGTTGCCCGCCAACTCAGGAGGTGATTGGTCATTTGTTTCACTGTTTTTGGTGGTTGCAAAGTTAGAAACTCGTGTGGTTTTCTTTAGCCTACCACTCGGGTGACTTTGATAAGATAAGAAATGGCCAAGTGAGGTCAACTCACACGTCGGAGCCGTCTAGCCCATCTGACAGGAGCTTTCTGGTGGAATGATCCCCTGGACCCGCGTGGTGCCAATTTACGGCCCCGCGCTCAAGCGCGGAGAGGCGGGCGGCGTTCCTTCGTCAAGAGTCGGGGGCAAAATATTCCGCAGAGTACGCCCCTTGGTGGTTCCACACCTGTTGCTGTGTTTGTTGGCTTGACATGCTTGACCTTTCTTTTTAAATACAAGTCACCCTTGTTTTGTAAATGCATGCCGCCAGTGGTAGGGTGGTCTTTAAATACAAGTCCACCCCAGTTTTGACCATTTCTGAAAGAAACAAATCGGTTGCCAGGCGTAGGCGTGCCGTTGCTTTATAGCCAAACTACCGACTTGTCTCTGAATGTTGATATTGGTACGTGGCCGGGCGTGGCAAATAACTTTCCCTCATGCAACGACTATTGCGGGAAGGGGCCGGGACTGGATGGCCGGTACCACGGAACATCGACGAAGTGTTTTTTTCTTCTTTTCTTTCCCCCCGAGTTAGGCAAAGCGCGCGTTTCAGAAATGGACCTCGGAAAGTCGACAAATGGTCTTGCGGAACCTTTTTCCTGCTTGTTTTGTTTGCGCCACACCGAAGACCCCATTGAAGAAGAGAGCACTTCTGCGGAACCCTTTCAAGAACACTAATTATTCTTGTCTACGAAGTCGTCTGCAGTATAGCTGTCTAGGCAGGCCCCCTCTCCCATTTCTGTCTCAAAGCCAACGGAAGGTATCTCAAGTTGCTGACTTTTTGGGTCACGTCACAGGAACCAAACGCGGATCCGCTGATGCCAGGCGTGGCGTTTCGTGACCTTCACCTTCTTCCACTTGCAGTTTCTGGACCTTTTTCAAAACCTGCTCACGCTGCTAGACACCCTGGACGTGGAGGCGCTCGATTCGTGTCGAATCGGAGCGTGGCAGACCGGAGATGATTTGTTCACCAAGCTTTATCTTAAACGGAAACCAAGAGGAAACCAGATATCTCTGCATATGCGACTGTGCCAGATTTTGAGTATGACTCATTTGTGACTTTAGGTCAAGGATCACTTAACATTCAATTCTGTTGGAACCGCAAGTAGCAACGATTCGGAGCGTCTAAAGTTTAAAGTCAAGAGTCCATGCAAAGCGTGTTTGCTGAAAACCTGCTTGGTCAGTCTTAAAGGTAGGCCAAAAGAAGACAAAAAAACGCGTTGATATATGTTTGCCTACTTTGCTCTTGTGTTCCCCGGCTATGGTTTTAGCTGCGTCTCGTTTGTAACATGGTGCTTGTACTGCGAGGAGGATGACTTGTAGCTTACCAGATTTGTGGAGCGGACGCCGTGTCATGGTCTGCTTTGTTTAAGGACAAACAAAAAGGCTTGGTTGCTTCTTCATGCGCTCATTTTTTGTTTGGTCTGCAGAAGATGAGCTCTCTGTTGGTTCTTTGTGGATGCTTGGTTGCTTCTTGATACAATTTTCATTTCAAGAGGTCTGGTCTTCGGAAGCACAGGCATGGCTTCAAGAGGCCTCTGAGTTTGGATGCTTTTTTCCTTCCCTACATGGAACCCACCAAAAGGTCCCTTCAAAAATTAGCCCCTGCAAATCAACGGGTCCTTTCCCACAAAGGGGTGTCTTCCCCCCCCCCAAGAAAAAGAAACAAACTAACAAACAGTCAAAAAAACAACAAGAAACATGGCATCGGTTCTCCTTGAGTGCCCCTCTTAAACCCACTCAAAACGAGTCCCTCAAAAAGAAAACAACAAAAAACAGACCCTTGTAGGGATTCCTCCATGGAGCTCGGTCCCATGCTAGTCGAGTAAGCTAGACCAAGGATTCACAAACGTGAATAGGGCGGCATCCCCCCGCGCAAAATCCACCAACATTGGCTAGTTTGGTTAAAAATAGAATGGGTAAACCACTGGTTGAGATGGGTTTGTTCCATCTACCGGGAAGCCCATCCATTTTACTAAAAGGACACCTATGCGGTGTGGCCAATGTTTTGCCCAAGAGCTAGAAGCTTTGTCTCTTACCTCAGCTCCATGGTTCGTAGTTGGGGATGCCTGGGCTGAAAATCCTCGCATGGCCGATCTTTGAATTTCTCATACCGGGGGAGAGATTCGGATGCCAGGGAACACCTCCGATCATCCTGGGGGATGGCTCCAATTTGAAGTGCGGCGCCTCTCGCTTGGCAAACCTTGAAGCTGGGGGGACGTCTACAGGTCACGAGTCTGCACCGAGCTTATCCATCTCTGGTGCGCAATGGAGTTGTCCACGGCAAACTTAAGAACGCAGAAATATATAATATGTTGGATCATGGTTCTAGTTTTTTGTTGTTGGTTCGGTTCATTTTTAGTGGGGGCTACCATACCAACGGTTGGAAAGATAACTTTCCGTTAGTCCCTTCGGGCAGGCTTAATTGGACATCCCCGCCGGGCGGACCGCTGAAAACGTCGGAGAGAAATCCAAAGGGAAGTAACAGCACAACACCAAGAACCCCGCTTTGGGAGAAGAGTACAGGGACGAACCAGGGGCAACTCGCCCAAGACAAGGAACCCCAAACGATGCTTCCTTTATTTCCCCTGTTAAACGAATGACCCCGCGAGCCCCCTCCCCCCCCGACGGGTTCAAGTACCCGAAGCGGAGGGGCTTTGAGCGATTGGGCATTTGTGGAAGGCATACCCGGTATCTTCTGCCACTCTACATTTCCATTGTGGTAATCTGTGTGTTTGTTCCCTGGAGTCCAATGAGAGGGCAACACAAAACGAAGCAAGGCATGGGCCAAAGCACCCAGCCGCTCTTCCAAGTGATCCTCAGTTTCGAGCCACCGCAAGCGCCAAATTGCACGGCGGGATGTCGGGATGTCGGGCAGGCTGAACATGCAGACATTGAGTTGTTGCCTACACAACCTCCTAGGTTTCACTTTGGGCTTCCGGTTGAAGGATGCATCCTTGGCTGAACGCCTCACTCTGGGATAAATCATCTAGTGCAGGGTTTTGTCCATTGACAGCATCATTTGAGATTTGGTCGAAACATCCAGTAGTGCATGGCTCATATCTTTCAATAGCCGAATACATGAGCCCTGGTATGAACCCCTAGTTACTTGGTCAATCAACCCTTCCCAGTAGATCCCAGTTATGCTTACATTAGTTCTGGTGTTAAAGGGTGTTTCTTTGTTGGTTACCTAAGCAGGATCCATGGATCTGGGCGAATTATAGAGACCTCACACGACCGAATTCACCCCAAAGGGTATGTGGGGAATATCCCCCCAACCACCTGATTTCAGGTTGGTGGAATATTATGATTCACCTAGATGGATCCGCTGGGTTCTGCTTCGTCCGGACCTCGAGGTCGGCGCGAAGCAGAACTTCATGTGCTACCCCAGCATCGGCGCGGCTGCTCAAAGAGCTCTTCCCCGGTTCAGTGGGGGACTTCCCCACCGGTCTGGGCACGAAGCATGTCGGAGGTCCCACACGAAGATCTGGTGAACAGGGCGTCTGTGAACCCACTAGGTCCCCCAGCTAGGTGCCCTTTCTCACCAACTTTTTGGGGGGAGGGTTCCCCTACTAAAATAGACTACAGAAAAAAGGGGACCGCAGGGGACCCTTATTCTAACCTCTCTACTGGTGGAGGACCTAGCATCCATGTGGAAGGGCTATTTTGCAACATTTTGGAATGGCCCAGGAGCATGACCCCAATAATTTGGTAAGCGGTCGTTCACCTGATAGCCTATGAGACAAACAGCCGCGCTTCACTTTCTGGCCAGCAATCGATCCTTACGAGGCTCAGAAAGGATTATGGAAAATCGGATTGGCCAACACTCATTTTGAACAGCCCAGTTGCCCCGACAACATCCTTTCTAATGGGAGCAATGATTTCCAAGTCTGCCTTTTCTAGTGTCCATGTTCGGGAGCCAGAAAAGGCTTTCATTGGTATGGTTTGTCCGAGTTCGAGCCAGGCTCAATAAGTTTATACTTGCACTGCAAGACTTGACTAGTTCGTGAACGGCCTTTTTGGGTTTCCTTCACGTTCTCTTCTGACCACAAATTGTCGGATCCGTTCTCAAGGGAGAAACCCAACCATTTCTCTCATCCAACGCGTTTTGACACATGTCCACTTCAGGCAGTTGCAGGCACCTTCTGGCGCCCCCCATGAAACCATCCAGAAAGGACCCCTATCTGAAGAACCACATCTCCTTGAGATTCCCCAGTGGTTCGGCGAGTTTAGGGGACCCACCCATGGTTGTTGTTGGGAAACATTTCACACTTTTGCTTATGGTGGTTGAGTGGTTGAAATCCAACTACTTAGCTGCTAAAACTTGAGAATTGTTTTGCTCCCCTTCCAACGTCAACCAAGCGATCATCGACGAAAAAGAAGAAGAAGAACAAGAAGAAGAAGAAGAAGAAGAAGTGTTTCACCTTTTTGGGGGGACCCACCGAAGAAGAAAAAAAAACGGGCGCTCCCAGTGTGTTTCGAGGTCTGGGCTCGGTGCACACCTTGGGGGTGTCGCTGGTGAGCGCCGCGGTGGGCGGAATGTGCAGCACCTGGGTGAACTTCTCCAACGTGGTGGCAGGCGTTGCGGGCAACGGCGCCGGCGCTTCGAAGCCTTCGCCGAGTATGGCCTTGGAATAAGCCATCGCGGAAGTCCTCACTTCTGAGTTCACCAAACACCAAAGCCCACCAAACCACCGTTCGCCATATAAAGCTGATGAGTTTGTGGACAATCGTCACTTTTTGGCGCCGCTTCCATGGCCCTGGAATGAGCCTCGACCAATCCATACCAATTACAGGGTGAAGCGTTTTTTCTTTTCAAATTTTGGCGGGGTGATGTTCAAAGAGCTAGGTCCCCCGCCGTGTCCCTTTTCGAAATGTGACAAAAGTGGCAGTTTCAATGGGCACCCCCCCCTAAATTGATCAACTGGGTCCCCCAGTGCCCTGTATCACCAACTTTTTGGGTTGGGAGGGTTCCCCCTACTAAAATAAACTACAAAAAAAAGAAGAAGTTGGTACCAACTTGTTCTAACCTCTCTACTGGAGGACCTAGACCCTCTCCTCCACTATCATGGCACCGGATCGGGAAACGGTCCCTTCAAGAGGAAGTATATCTTCCAGGTACCCTCCGACAGGTGCCATGTTAGTGGGAGGGAGGGTCATCGGATCGCCGGGGAAGGTTTGGGACGTCGCGGGAGAGGTGTGTTTTTGTTAAGAAAGAAAATCTTGGTGGCTCCCAGCCATCCCCTTAGCTTCTTAGCCTCTGAGTGTTTAGTGGTAGTTTCCATGAACCCACTAAAAGTTAAACTTTTACGGGGGGAACTGAGGGCAGCCCAGAAAAGGTTAAAAATAGTTGGGTTCCGAATTCATCGGATCGGCAGGAAGGTCTTGTATGTTTGAGGTAATGTTGATCCCATTTCGATCAACCTAAGATTATTGATAGAGGGGTGTCTCTGGGCTTGGTGGGGAATTATCACTTTTGGAGTGGCCCCCACCAAACTAGGATACTACCCATGACAAAGCGAAGTCAACAACTCCAATGTTGGCTGGCAATAACCCATTTTTATAACCCAGGCAAAGCCATGGTTGTGGAACATTCTGGGTTTGGGTTGCCACTTTCTGCCAGAAGAGATTCCATGTTCAAGTCAGAGTGTCTAGGTCCTCCAGGTACCAACTTTTCTCTGTTTCGTCTATTTTTAGGTGGGGAACCCTCCCAACCAAAAAGGAGTACAAGAAAGGGCACCTAGCTGGGGGACCTAGAGTGCCCTTTTACCCTTTTGTGCGGGAGGGTTCCCCTACTGAAACAGAACAAAAGCTGGCACCCTTGTTCTAACCTCTCTACTGGAGGACCTGGCTGCCTTTTAAACTTTTTGGTGCCCCTACCCTCGCATGGCTTGAGAAAACTACCCAAGGTTGGCATGGCCCCCCTTTTCAGGTTTCATGTTTTCGATTCGCCGAGTTAGTACGTTGTTGGTCACCCAGCTTACGGGCCTCGTACAAGTTCCTCTAAGTGGGGGTAAGTGAATTAACGGATTGTAGCAAGAGCCCTTGCCAACTTGGCCGAACATGTCAGTTGTTTTTGTTTCCGATTGTTTGGTTCTGTTCGTTTAGAGTGTTGTTTTTGTTGCAAGGCCGTTACCGTTTCGTTTGGAAAGCTTGGACATTGGTTTTGCTCTATAGGGTTACAGGTTTGGTGGACCTCCTCCTTTTACAATATGGCCATGGGTCAAAATCCCGCACCCCCAGTGAACATCCCAATCTCCACTAGAATAGGTTCTAAAATGGGTGGTGCACCGAAACCCAACCAAAATGGGATCCCAAAACGGTTTTGACCACCACAGCCATATGGTTTGCTTTTATCTTGGTTTTTACTATTTACTATCATCTCCTTTTCATTTGTTGAGAGTAGTTAAGCCATATATTTTGATTTATCGCCACATGTTCCAAAAGAAGTGGATTTTCTGTCGGGCATTGCCTGGTGGACCTCCTTTTGCAATACGGTAGCGTGACATGCACGTGAGGTCTCCACGGCACCCCCACCTTTGGCCGTTCCCTGGCTGTTCCCTGGACCGACCGCACGCCATCGCACGCCGCACCGAGACACCGAGAGCGACAGGCGCGTCCGCCCTGGGCTTCGGCCTCTCCGGCGCCATCGTGGCGCTCTATGCGCTCTACGCAGGCGAAGAAAGAACCCGGAGCCTCGAAGGGATGGAACTTTTCGCTGCCCTAGCTGTTTTTCTGGAAGAACTGCACTGGCCATGATGCGCTTCCTGGGGGCGATCGGGCAAAGATGAAGCGGTCCCCCAGCTAGGTGCCCTTTCTCACCCACTTTTTGGCTTGGGAGGGCTCCCCTACTAAAATAGACGTCCTGAAAAAGTTGGCACCCTTATTCTAATCTTTCTAGTGGAGGACCTAGGCACGGTTTTTTAATCCTGTAGCTCGTTCCATCGCAAAGTCTCTCTCACTCTCGCACACACGAAGGAGATAAGTCTGTGTTCTCTCCCAACCTCTCCTCTCCTTTCTTCACCAAGATCCAGATATACAAACATGAAAGAAGAGGATTGGACAAATCCAGAAGTTAGATAGGGATTGGATTAACTGTCCGTCATGTCTTTCCCTTTCTCATTGCCGTTGGGACTTCCGGGATCTGAGACACTTCCGGGATCTAAAAACAGATTTGCCAACGAAGAAAGAGAGAGAGAGAGAGAGAAAAAAAAACATAGACACAGCATATGAGTGAGGGTTTGTCAGGTAGAAATCTCTTGATGGGGGAAAAAAGCATCATACGCCATCTCTTATCCTCTCCTTTCCCTTAACTAATCTCAACAAATGAAAAGGAGATGATAGTAAATAATAATAATAATAATAATACATATAGTATTTGAAGTCTCGAAATGTCCAGCTAAAAAGATGGGTACCCTTAGGGCCTTAGGGAGTGGTTCCTCAAATGCGAGGTAATGTTGACCCCATATTAGGCAATCCCAATCCCATTTTATTAATTCGAGGGGGTGCTTTTTTTTGGGTGTCTAGTCAGGAAGCAGACTTCTGGAAGGGCCCCCAACCCTATTCATAAACTGGGGTTGATTTATATGGGGAAGCATTGACTTGGCGGCTCCCAGCCATCCAGCTCCTTAGTTGTTTTTTCGATCTGTTGAGTTGCTTTGTGCTTCTGCAGCCATTTGTTTGGATTGATTGTAGCGAAAGAATGCGTTGAGAGCAAACATATTGACGGCTTGGAGTCTTTCCTTTTGAAGAAGAAGACCAACCCGAAGTCAGCAATTTACATGCAATCAGGTTCTTCTCGCTCGCAATCGTGTGGCAGCAGGGTGTTTTCTATTACGCATTTACCTTCGAGCGAGATATAGTGATATGTTGGCACTTTGAGGCATTTGCGCAGACGAGGTTCATGCAGATGGGTTTCCGAGAAGAGTATTTGGATGCCACAGTTAGCCGCTCCGAGTCGTCCTACACCTTGGAGAGGAAGCATGTGTTTTCGGAGAAGGCCACTAGCACTTCACATAGTAGGGCTGGCCCAACTTGGCGGTTTGTCAGCTGGTGCAAGATGGAACAGAAGAATTCATTCCCCGTCAGCGAAAACATGGTTTACTTATTCGTGAAATCACCGGCTACAACATCCGCTCCAACATTTCTTCGCAGTTTTGTTGTTGGTTTAGTGGTTGGGTTTCCGAATGTAACCAACTAAAAGTTCAATGTTTGGCATCGGATCTGAGGGTTATTGCATTTGCAAGCCCAAATTAGGGTTGGTGACATCTATTTTTTTTATGGGTAGTTTGATGCTTTAGGTATGTCTTTTTGGAATTGGTCCCCCGTTTTTGGGTTGCTTTTCTCGGAAGGACAAGAGGAGAACCAGCCTCTTTTTTTTTGGGAGGGGGGGGGGGCGATTCCTAAAAGAGGACACACCCAAATGGCTCTGATTTTTGTTTGTTTTTTGAGCCCTTTGCTGGGCACAAATTCGGTGGGGAGTCCATGGTTGTTGTTGGGAAACAGTTTTTACATCATTGCTTATGGTGGTTTTTCGTGGTTGAAATCCAACCACCTATAACTGCTAAATTTTGAGAATTGTTTTGCTCCCCAAACCCAACGTCAAGTTTCATCTCCACCCCACTTTTCAGGTTTCCTCAAACTCGCTGGGCCAAATTTGGGCCTGGGCTGCAATGTTTGAGGCTCCGAGGCTCGCTAATTTGTTTTGGGGTTGGTGTGTTTTTTATTTGTTCTGCTTTGGAGCCCAAAGGACCAGCCGGCCCTCATATGGGGTCTCCCGGAGTTCTGGCACAGCTTTTGGGCTTGAAAGCGTCTCGCAACAGGTGTCCTTTTGATCGGTTCGTGTGGCTAGAAATCGATGGTTTAGATGGGGTTGTTGAAGTTCCATTTTCCGCAATGTTCGCAAAACCCCCCAAATAAGCTTGCGCCTGCATTTGGAAATGCGGGGTTTGATTCTGCTTGGGATTTGAAGGAAAACCACATGGAAGGCCGCCCTCTTTCGACGCCCATGGGCGGCTTTTGGGAGTCGGCACCTGGAGAGGCGCGGATTTGGACTCGACCTCCAGCGTGCAGCGGAGCTTCAAGGACGAATTGAGAGAGTGCGGCCAGACTGGCGCCAGTTCTGGCGCCAGTTCTGGGTCAAGTCACTGGTTCATGTTTAAGCCGACATTGAAAGGGTCCATTGCCTGCTGCATGACCCTTTGGTGTGGGTTTGTGGGTGTCTCTTTTTTGCTTTTTTTTGAGGGTGCCATTTCCACTACAATTAGTTTCAAGGGACACCGAAATGGGCAGCCATGTTGCAGCTCCCCCTATTTCGACACAAAGAGACCGTCTCACTGATAGAAACGTCTGATGTTGGTTGGTGTCCCATGGTTTCCGTTTCTGGGTGTCCCATGGTTTCCCTTTTGGTGTGCCACTAAAAGCCATAAGAACTTTTAGCTAGATCAACGAAAGCAGCTTGCGAGATGAGACATTTCCCTTTGGTGCATTTTGTTTTGATGTTCGGACTTTAACTTTTTTTGCCAACCAATGGCTTTTCCATCAAAGCACTAAAAGTTTGTCACGTTTAGCAGGGGAGCAGATTTCGCAACCAAGTTCCCTTTTTGGTAAAGAACAAGTTTGGGAGCTGGTTTTGGGCCATCTCGGGAAGCGAATGTCAGGACTGGGTCTGGCTGCGCTTGATCTTCGTGGCCTTCCACATCGCCATGGAGCCTGCGACTCAGGTGAAAGGACGAAAGCTCATGGCCCCTGCAAATGGGTGGCTCGTCTTTTTTTTGGTTTGGAGCTCCCCCCCCCACCAAAACAAAATACACCATCATAGACCCCAGATAGCGAGAAGGACGCCAAAGTTTGTGCACCAGCACCTCCACCAGCACCCCCCGAAGAGCGGCCCAAACAGCACTCGGCCGTCAATCTCGCAAAAATGCCCGCACCGGCCCCGCACTCCAAACCGCATCCCAAAACACCACTTGCACCAGCACGTCAAACTGCACGCTCCCTAGCACCAGCCCAGCACTCTGGCAAATCACTTTCCCCTCTTTAATTACCAAAACACCCCCTGCCCCAGCACCCCAAGCTGCATGTTTAATACTTGCACCCTACTGTCAAGATGCAAACATACATGCGCCTGCACCGTCACCTGGTGTCAATATCGCAGAAACGCGCCCGCACAGTCACCAGCACCTCAAACAGCTCCCCACAAACAGCATCCCACAGCACCATCAGCACCAGCACCCCGATCTGCATTCCCTACCGTCAAGAGGCAAAAAATGGCACGCACCGTCACTCCCCCAAAACAGCACCTGCGCCAGCACCCCAAACTGCATGCCCCTAGCACCCTGCCGTCAATCTTGAAAAGATGCGCCCGCACTGCCATCAGCACCTCAAACAGCTTTTAGTTTTTTGTTTGTTTTGGACCCCAAAAAATGTTGTTGTTCCTTTTGGTTTCCCTGTTTATACCAGCACAAAACAAATGTCCAAGAAAGCGAATTGACCTCGTGATCTGACCTTTTGATCTCATCTTTTGGCTTCTTTTTGGTCCAGTGGCCACAAAAGGTGATCATGTTTTACTTCCAGGTTGGTTTTACCATCTAAAAGGGGGATCCAGCAGTTTGGGTGTGAAATTCAATTCGGGGCCCTTTGGTGGACATCGGAATTCTGTGGGGGTTGATGTCCAGCAACCACTGCTGAAGGGGTGCGTAGCCAAATGTGCCTTGGTTAGAAGACCCGTTTACTTCGGGTTAGTAAAGATCATGGACCCCTCAGTTTTCAGTTTCAGGAATTCAGACAACCATGATACGGATTCCCAAGAGCCTCAAATAACACCCGAGCAGTTAATTACAGGTTAGTCAAAGACGGTCCCAGCTATAAATAGGTGCAGCCGCCCTGTAGATTATTTGCATGGTTTTTGTAGTCCCCTTTAGCACCAGGTCTTGAGTGTGACTCACATGGTATGGGTATGATTTGGCATGAGGGTGGTGGCGTGTGGTCTTCTGGTATGTGTCACACATGGGTATGTGTTTGTTGCCTGGTGACCCTGTGGACAGCGTTTGCACGGAGAGATCTATGCAACCACCAAGCGTTTCGGAGGATGTTCGGGAGTTCTCCGCTCAAACCACACATATCCAGCGCGCTGACCCGGGTGTAAGTGCAAATTCGTTCTGAAGTGTTGTCAAATTAGGAGAGAAGCACGCCCACGTTCTGGCGGAAAACGTGACACCCAATTTTCACACCCTTCTGGAAATAAGTGGCTTTTCTCCAGTGCAGTCCCCAAACCAAGTTTGATTTTTCCGAAAGGATCGAAGACTTCCTGAGTTCATGGGCTCTAGAAACTTTGTGGGTCTGGACCACTTTGGCAAATCGACCGTTTAGACGGCTTTTGGCCAATCCACGCATGAAATCCACTCACGAAGTGAGGAATAGGGGAAAATCGTCGAATGGGCGCCCTTTTCTGAGGGTGCTTTTTTTGGGGGTGGGTTTAACGGGAAGCCAAACTTCTGGCGGGTGGCCCTAGGAAGGGTAGATGTCCCTTCAACGCCACCAATATTGAGACATTGGACGTGAAACTCAAGGACGCACAAATGGGCTTGATGACATCCGTGAGTATGCGGAATACAATTCATTTGTTGTATGCTGAACAGTTACAACTTTCGAGTCGTGATTCGTAGAAAGCGCAAATCGTTGCAAAACAATGGGATCCCTCGCACACTAGGCAACGGACACACTACAAGTAGTTTCAACTTCGCTTGGCTCTTGAGCAAAACCGGCCATGTGGCTGTGTGCTTGCAACTACCAGAAGCTCGGGCCCCAAGATGGAGATGTCTGCTGTTTGGGTCATGCTTTGTTGGTTCACTACTAGGCTATATGCACTTAAATAGGGATCATTAGAGATCCCCTGTCCAAAACGGGCGGACAGGAATGCCCTGTGAATGTTTGGCGAATACTTCCATGTTGTTTGTGAGAGGGTAATCAAATTGCACCCTCAGAGTCTTGACTTAAAAAGCCCTTTCATGGACATCCAAACGTGTCAACATATGCTGAAAAACCAAAATGCGGTTTCACTTTGGTGTCCCGTTTACCCAAAGTGAGAAAGGTGCCTCAAAAAGCACGACACACATTGGTCCTCAAGCCAGATATGAAAGCTTTTGACCACCTCAGCCTAGTAAACTTAGGGTCCATACTGATGGGCAAATCCATCCCGCACCGGTTTGGAGTGCACGAAACGCATTTTCCACCAAGCAAGATCCCATCAACTAGTGCTATCTTGTGTCTTTCCCCATCAGGGCCCCTCATTCAGAGGGATAAACAGTGTTAAACAGGTGGGTCCGGAAGTGTGAAGTGGGTTTCGTCCCTTCCTTCCTGGAGTTGAGTGTGAGTCACTTTTGGGACGGCCATTCTAGTGAACACAAAGTTTCAATCTTTACCAATCCACTCGCTAGGTTTTGCTCCCTACACCCTTCGGCAGAAAAGCGCACTGACATATATATATATATATACATATCATAATACAAGCATTACAATATAAACAAATACGCTCACTCGGGTTGTTGGGTCCCTCATCTTGAATGCCGATTTGTTGCTTCCCGACCGCTTGAACTTCGAGGTTCGTGCGGGGCCTGTCCCAGCGGGATTTGGCGGGGCTCTGGGCGCATACCACCGCCTTCCTCAGCGGCTTCGCGTGCGGCGCTTTCCGCGCTCGATGCGGATCGATCCGGCTCGGCTCGTTCGGCTCGGGGTTGCTGGAGGTTTTTTTCTCGAGGAGGAGCAAAGCCACCAAGCGGTACCCGAAAGAAAGGTGAAGCTGTGTTGTTCTCGTTGTTTTTCGAAGAAGAACAAAAACATATGGAAAAAAAAGTAAGAGAATAACATGGGTTGGTTGGCTAGGGTTTGTTGGATGGCTGGGTTGGTTTGTCGGATTAAAGCGGCAGGATTCCTCAGCTCAATGGTTAGTAACCTGGTTTGACCCCACGTTCTGGGTTCCAGATTGCCCATGTAGCCCTACATAGCCCACACAGTTGCGTGTTCCCCCAACGGCCCTCCCCACCAGCGTGCAACCTAGAAGGTCCTGGCACATTCAAGTTTAGGTTCTCTTCATGTTGGGTGCCCTTGATACCGTACCAAGAATTGGGGGAAAAAGCACCCGCCAGAAGCCCAAGCTTTGGGGCTTGATACATGTGGGCGAGCAACCAAGGATGCCGGTGACAGATTGGATTACACGGGAGTCGGAGTCATGAAGCACATAGGTTGAATACCAGCAAGTGGTTTTCTCTTAGTATACATGACCTCGTTTGAGAACATGTTCCCGGCCAGCAACATAGAAGAGATGCTTCGTGGACACCCAGACCACATCCAGCACGTTCAGAACAGAATGGTGCAAAGGTGGACACCTACTTCGAGAAGATCAACAAGTATCGCGCTGAACAGGGTGATGCAGCAACCAAGCACAGGCACCCGGGCAGGACTACCACCAGAGAACAACTACCACCCAGGACTACCACGACATTGAAATGTCTGCAAGTCAAATCTTGCATTTTGACTTCCTGTGGAGGCCTGGCCGTTTGAAAGAGTTTTGATGATCACTGCTGATTAGGTTGCGCCCATCAAGGTTGTCAAGGTCCCAATATAGCAGGTCCCACCACTTGGCAGGCAACTAGTGTCCCCTTCGACAAATCGCAGGTGTTTGCCTGGCGCTCACGCAACTCCAGGCACTTCGAGTGCAGGTTTGGTTCAGTCATGGCTGAATCATGAGAACAAACAAAATGTATGACTTCTTTTTGGTTTCCTCATCTCAAACAAAGAAGACCGCCACCAAATCAAAGCAGGCTAGGCTTCGCAAACGACACACCTCTACTCACTTCAGTGTGTGGACTTGTCACTTGTGGCGCGGAAGCCATTTTCGCGCAAACAACAGCAGACTTTCCTCCAATCCACTCCAGTGGACTCGATTCCTGCGCATGCACTTCTCAAGTCCTGAGGCATTGAACTTTAAGCTTTTTGGGAAGACCATTCTAGTGGCGAATCTGAAGTTTGTTGGTTTGTTTGGGTTTTTTTTGGCCATCCGCTCCGCAAGTAAGACTTAGCCCACCGCACCGACACACACACACACCCACACCCCCACCCACACCCCCACCCGGCGGCTGGGCAGGTACGTCCTCTACTTTTTGCCCCCCATGGGCGATGGAACGCTCCTCTCCGCTGAACGGCCCTACGTGGTGGCCTGCGCTTACGCGGCTCGGCTCGGCAGGTGACTGGGGTGAGTGGAAGGGATCGAGTCCACACGACCGATCGAGTCTTTCCATTTGCTGGAACGAATATGGTGTATTTTCTTTCTCCCCTGTTGGTGTTTAAAGGGAATCTATCACTGCTGGAGCCATTTTCTTATTCTTTGCTGAAACGAATATATATATATATATATATATGTTTTATTTTATTTGTTTGCCCTGTTGGGGTAGTGCGGACAGCTGTATGAAGTCCGCACTACCAGAATGTTTTATTATTATAATTATTACTATTAGTTTTATTATTATGTTCCCCTGTTCGTTTCAAAGGGAATCGATTTGACTACTGGGAATATTCTCATTTTTTCCACGGTCTTAACCCAATGGAAGTGAGGGTTGCTGGAGGTGGGCTTACGGTTTAGGAATACGTTATGCGATATGCAGGGAACCCCTTTGACGTGAATGAACCGAGGGGTGGCCCATGTGGTATCACAGAAATGGGGCCCCATTTGGCGGCGAGTAGTTCCTGCCATGGAGGGGGTCTTCAAACCAAATGGCACACTGCCAGTCGCGAAGCATGTATGGAATTGGTTGCGCGTGCGTGTGTGGGCGTAGTGTGGATGGACTTCTATCTCTGACATTGCCAGGCAGCCACGTGCGTTGGTCTTTTGTCCTTTATACTTGCGCCTTTCTCGTCGGATTCAGGCAATGCACATACTCTTCTGCATGCAAAGCCAAGCGCACAACTGGCAGCAACACTTCCTTTTGCCACTCGTTTGCCACTTCTCTGGCAGCCACGACACCGTTTCCGGCATAGGAAGGGAAGGTTGGCGTCCAGCTCGGACCAGAAATGTTGGCCCAGCAGTTCCCAAAGGAGAGTCGCCAGTTCGCTGAAACCTAATGATTGACACCACACTCCAGTCGCTGTCTTTTGAAAGGGAATAGATGGGTGGATGAATGGATGGATGCAGGGCTTTGCGGCCAAAGTAAAACCGTCCCTCGCGCCATCGCAGCCGACACAAGTCATCACCCACCCTCCGGATACCAGTTGGGCGTGTCCTTTTTGAGGACCCCCCTCCAAAAAAACATGTTTCAAAGCCACAAGAAATGTTTCGCACCCTGACAAAAGAGACGCCCCTGCATGATTGTTTCTCGGCCCCTTTCCTGCAGGTTGGCTCCCTTTCGGTTTCCTAGTCTAGGTCCCCCAGCTATTTGCCCTTTCCCACCCCTTTTTGGGGGGTCGGATCCTACTCAAATAGACGAAACAGAAAAAAATGATATCAACTTATTCTAACCTCTCTACTGGGGGACCTAGTAGTAAACCACGGGCGGTCGCTACGAAAATCCAAACAAAAAGCGCCGGGCCCCTTCCTGGTCCCGAAGCCGCTTGGCCGAGGACAGCAGCGGCTTCTCGTCCAGCGCGCGCAGCCAAGCTCTGTGGGTTTTTGAAGTGGGAAGTGGGAACACTTCCAGGGTTTGATTCCAACCAACTATTTCCAGTGCAGAGGTTAGAGTAAGGGTACCAACTTTTTTCTGTTTTGTCTATTTTAGTAGGGGAACCCTCCCAACCAAAATAGGGGTGAGAAAGGGCACCGAGCTGGGGGACTTGGGCCCATCAAGAGCAGGCCTTTCTTGGGAGAAAAGCCTTCCGGGTTCTCAAGCACGTGCCATTCTAAGGGGTTGATTCCTTTTCAAATGGGTGCATTGTTTGTTCCATGCCAATCTGCAGGAGAGTAAGGATTGAAGATTCTAGGTGTTGATCTTCCTTTTCCGTATTCTTTTCAGCCATCGTTCTTTTCTCAAAAACCGGATCCGTTTCCCCTGGGTTTCAAATGGTTTTTTGGAAAGATCCGGATCCCTGGAAAGAATGGACATGGAAGGTACCCCTAGAACACCGCGTGGCATGGCTCAAAAAATTGAACGGAAAAGCAGCTACAAAGGCCATGCCTCCAGAGAGGATGAAGGAAGGCGTAGATTCAAGATCTGAAGAGCCCCCAAGAAAAGGACAATAGAACAAAAAGGAAACGTTCCGCATCCATGTGCTTAAGAATATGTGTTATTCTCCACCGGCTCTTCAAGGCAAATCTATCACTACTACGCATACTGGACACTGTAGTCTCTCATTTTTCCCAGGATTCGAAAAAGCAACTTAAGTCTAAAACCCCACTTCCCAGACCGCCCAATGGTGCCCTTTTCTCTTTCTGTGGAGGGGATCCCCTTAGCACCAACTACCATAAATCTTGGTGTTTCGCACCCATCCCCTTAGGTGGTTCGCTCTTTTTAGTTGCTTTCACTCAAAGTGTTCGACTTTCAGCGGGGGATCAGGCAACAGTCCTGGAGTCTTCTTCTGTCCCGAAAAAAAAAGCTCGGGTCAATGACGTTTTCATTTTGGGCAATGACGTTGTTAAGACTAACAAGCATGGGGTCATGACCAACCATTTTGGGTCACCCGCCCACGTTCTAAGAATCATCCTGGTGGCTCCCAGCCATCCCTTCAGCTTCTTAGCTTTTCAGGCTTCAGTGGGGATTTCCACTTCACCCACTAAAAGTTAAGCCCATTTCTTTTCGCTGGGGATCTGAAAACGGGCAGCCGTGATAAGTCCAGCGGCATGTTCGTCGCCAGAGTCCCCGTGATGTTCCCCATGACAGCCTCAGCCCAGAGGCGCCGGAGTGCCTCCGACTCTTCAACGCCCAGTACGAGTACCAGGCGCGCGCGCGGAAAACCGCGAGAAGCGGCAGTTTTAAAGCGCGCGGAGATGTGCGGCCTTGGGCGCTTTCTTTTTTTGGCATGGTGTTCGGGGAATTGTTCGGGGGCCTGAACTGCGTGGGGTGTGACCTTTTTTGCATTTGCTGAGATGAAGTGTAGAGGAGTTTGCGACATATCCGATTCAGAGTCTCATTCGTTAGCAAGGGATGCACAGACAGCTAAGAGTGGTGTGATTCGTCCTTTTCGGCTTCAAAGGGAATCGACTTCACTACTGGAAGCATCTTCTCAGTTTTTCGAGGCTGAAGTCCGAAAGCTACGCGGCGAGCCGGCCCATGGGCCGCAAATGTTTTCAGAAGGAGTCTCTGACATGAATTTGCCTTTTTAGGTTGCCAAGTACTCTCTCCTTCAGTTAGTTCTTCCCTGGTGTCACCAGCAACTTCTTGGGAAGCGACTCGTTCCCAGGAGCAAAACTAACTTCGTGGGGATCTTCAAGCCAGCGAATCCAGATCCCTACACGTAACCAAGGGAACAACTCTTTGAAAGCTTAGAGCAAAATTGCTGGTTGCCTTTTATAGGGGTAACTGGGATCCACTGAGGAATCCATAGGATGCGTATCTTGGTCGAGGTGTCCACTCTTTTGTTCTGCCTTTTGTGGCGCAGCTGCATTTGTTCCAACGGAAACTAAAAAGGGACATGCAATCTGTCGACGTGTCTTCTCTTTTCACCCCCGGCTTCCGTGAAAATGAACAAGCTTTAAACGAGTTGTTCCACTCTTCATCGTCCGCTTGCTTGCAAAAAGTCAGAAAGAAAGACAAGCGAAGAGGCATAGGTGTTCAGTTTGGTTTGCTTAAAACATAGAGGTCGTTTAGATGGGGTTTATTACCCATCTACCAGGGAACCCCATCTATTTTTTCAAAAGGCCACCTATGCCAAGAGGTGGACGATGTACATCGGCAATGCTTCCTCTTCTTCTCCACGATCGTTGGATGGACCGTCTTCAACACCGCGCGGACCTTAGCAGCTGGGGTCACCTGGAGTCTCCAACTCCAAGGCTGTGGGTCAAAAAAAGTACCCAAAATGGCTTGCCCTGGTAAATGGAAACATGGAGTAAACCTGTGGTCCCCTGGTGGTTTAATTTTGACCTATACCCACATGTGCTATGTCTTGCAGACCAACTAGGTCCCTCAGCTCGGTGCCCTTTCTCACCCCTTTTTTGCGGGGAGGGTTCTACTAAAATAGACTGCAGAAAAAAGTTGGTACCAACTTATTCTAACCTCTCAAATCCGGAGGACCTAGCCAAATATGGTGCGGATTTTGGGAGGTTGGATCGTTTGCAACCTGCCATCCAAAGATACTCGGAGAGACCTCTAGGGACACACACACACGCACACACTGGCCACAGCAACACGATCTGGACTAAAAAGGACACCTATCTCTGCAAATGACGCAATGACTCCAAAGCCTTTTATCTTGGCAGAAGCCTCCATGCCTGGTTGCCGCGCATTTCCGGTGCCACCAGCATAAAATGTGTCCAAAACCTGAGATGATGGGATCAAGTCACGGACGAGTCACGGCTTTCAAGGGTCACTTTTCAGCCCCCCCCCCCCCCCCGCAAGTGACACGGCTCCCGAATCGCGGAGAATCCCCGAGCCCACGAAACGAGAATCCAAAAGAGCATGGAAGTGCAGACCGAGAAAGTCCCACGTTAGGGCCTCGCAAATTCCATGCTGGCGTGTTGGAGGTTAGAACCCCTGAGAAGCCAAACAACAAGTAAGTCCAAACAAGGTCGCACGGTCTCGTGACACGCGTTTGAAACCTGCGTTGTCGTTTCCACTCTCCATTTTACTCCCAAGTTTGGTTGGAAACTCATTGGATTCCTCTGGTTCGGATTGGGTGCGTTGTGGTGTTTTTTCCCCTATGTACCAGGGCCATCTATCATCCATGTTTCCAAATGCCTCATGCTTCTGTGAAAATAAAAGGACTGCGACTTTTGAGGATATTCTTTGTGGCCAACGCATTTTGAGGCAAATGTAGAGGAAACCGTTTTTGTTCCCCAACGGCCGCCAGAGCTCTGGGGCAACTTTTTCTCGGAGGGTTCCGGAGGGGAGTTCCGGGGCTGCTGAGGATGCCACGGCTTTTTTGGAGGGTTCTCTGAGACAAATCCGGAGTGCAAGGCAGTACTGCACCGGAGGGTGAAGTCTACGGATGCGGCCGGGGCCGCAAGCCGCGCATGACGCCGTCAGCTTTGAGGTGTCCCTTCTTTGGTGGTTTGGAATTGAACCCCTGGTTCTTGGGGTGTCCCTTTAAAATAACTTGTTGGCATTTTCGCCATTCCCCTTGGACCCTCGCAGAGCCAATAGGACGGCTATGTTTTCACTCCTAGTTGGAATTCCTACCTTACCATTTCGGTATTGGTCAACGTTAAACCACCCGGGGTCCGCAGATTTAGTCCTTGTTTCCATTTGCAAGGTTCCCTGTTGGGAACCTACGTTTGACCCACAGCCATTTCATATGATTAGATGAGAGACAGGGGAACGGTGAGGGAGATGGAGTTTACAAAGATGCAAAGGACATGCCCTGAAATTCAGCATGCGTGTCTTCATTTCAGGAATGTGTTTTCTTTTTCTGGAAGCCTGGAAGCCTTTCAATTGCGACAAGATAAACGAAGAAGCCAGCATGAAAGACCTGGAAAGATTGGGCACTTCGTGATCCAAAAGGATAGGTAATTCTAGGAATGGACATAAAAAAGATGTGACTTGGCAGGGAGCTCCACTTGATTCGGCCAAGCGGTTCGCCATTGAGGTTGTAGCCTACAGAGTCAACTCCAGAAAAGCTTGTTACAAGTGGACTGGAGTCTAGGTTAGCAACAACTAACTCAGGCCGAACATCCAAGTATACGTCTATATACACTGACTAGGTCTTCCAGTAGTGCCCTTTTGCCTTTTTTTTGGGGAGAGTTCCCCTACTAAAATAGACTACAGAGAAAAGTTGGCATCCTTATTCTAACCTCTACTGGAGGACCTAGCTGACTCATGTTGCACTTTGGCCAAGAGGGAAGGAGCCTTTGTGCACCTGGCCTGGCCATCGACGCCTTCCGACAGCAAGAGCGGTCGAATTCACAGCCGGGGTGACGGTCACAGACCACGTGGTTGCTTTTTGCCGCACCAATTCTCTGACTCGTGGGGGGCGGCTTCCCCACGCAAAAATGATCAACAAAACACAGGGTTGGCTTCCTTTTTGTTGCTTTTGCCTAGGCTGCCAAAAAGAAAATGGCCCTCCCCAGAACTACAACCACACCTATGGCTATTTGCCCTTTCACTTTCTCTTCTGGACTTGTTTTTTTGAGGGGAGCCCTTTGCTCTGGCTGGTCAAAGGGAAACCAATCTTCACGGTTCCGCGCCGCCCCCTTGTTTTTAGCTTTTAGGGTTTAGCGCTTGGGCTCCCGATTTTAACCCACAAGTCACTCACTTCGGGCTTGGGAGCCCTTTCTTTGGGCTGGTCCCTTCCTTTGGAAACCTCAGACCAAACCACTTTTTGCACAGGAAAAAAAACGGACAGCCCGGGAAGGGACACAAAAAAAAAGAGCGCAAAAGACTCTCGTTGGCTCCTCGACCTACGGTTCCCAGCTTCCTTCCTTCTGCGCCGTCTCCGTGAGCAGGTCCTGTTGGCTGGGGCGGAGGTCAGCGCTGTGTGCTGCAACCGCCAGGCCATGCTTGGAGTCAGAACTTCGGGGTGGGTCACGACGATGTTTTGTTTTGGGCGTTCACCATTTTTCTTGGTGGCTCCCAGCCATCCGGTTCCTTAGCCTTTTAGCTTTTTGGTGTTTATATGGTAGTTTCCATTTAACCCACTAAGCGGCTCTGAGGGCAGCCCAGTTTGGTGGTGAATGCAAAGTTTGGACTTGTCTGGCCGATCCGGGTTGTTGGCCAATTTTTAGGAAGAAAGGATCCTTGAAGAAAATGGAGAGGGTCCAAAAAGAAGTGCTTGCTCTAGCTGATTGCAAGGGAGCCGTTCGGGATGCTGATGGAACCTGAATAGCCCAGCTGATGGTTGGAAGGGAGCCGGACTCGGAGCTGCAATGTTCCAAATTTGCCTTTTTTCCAGAGGGGGAGCCTTTGGGAGCTACGCGGAGTTCTGCAAGGACATGGTACTTGGGATAGATATAGGACTTGCTTGTCCTTGGCTCAAGTGCTAGCTGATTGGTCTATGGTCCATTTGAGAGTTGCGAGCGCGGTGCAATGGTTGGAGTGGTGGGCACCCTTGAAATATTTTGTTGACAAGGGGCCTTCTCATAGTTTTGCTTTGGGCAAGCTCTCCTTTGGCCGGCCGGAACAAGAATTGAACGAACTGGCCGGGAGCCGGATTGTGAAAGCGCTTACTTCGATTCACTTGTGTACTACAAAGAATTGATGAGTATGAGCTTGCAGGGTACTATTTTCACGAACTTAAGTCAAGATCATGAGAGGAATGCGTCAGACTAGATGTCGTGCTGGTGAGGTTCGGTCAAAGTTCCGGTTCTATGGATTGTGACTCACCTTGCCCCTGAGGAGTGTCAACTCTTTTTTCCGGAGTTTCGGATATGAAACCATTCTTGAGTCTCCCTATTTTCGGGAATCCCTAAGACAGGGTGCTCCCCTGCCTAAGTCTTTAAGCCTAGGGAAGCCTAAAGAACTCGAAACCGGCTCTCAACCCTCCGCAAGCGGGGAACTTCCACAAAGCTTTTCGCGGCGCAGCCCCGCGGTTTTTTTTGGGGGGGCCTAGGCGAGGCCTGGAGGAGATGGCCTTGCCTCCAACATGGAGGACAAGGCGCCTGCGACGAGTTGGGGCTCGACGGCTCGGCGGTTTTGAAGCGCTTTTTCGGGTGAGTGTGGGTTGGACCTGCGGTTGCTTTTACCTTTCTGTTGTTTGTTTGCATTGTTTGTTATGTCTTGGTTCTGTTCATGTATAGGGTGAAAAGAAAAAAAGAAAGATCAAAGCTGCTTGCTACCATACCAAGGGATAACAAGGGTTGGAAAAGGCACATCGCCATGTGGCTTGCTAGTTTCAGGCGAATGTCCCTTGTTTGCTTTCCTCGGTAACTTGGGGTGATTTTCCCAACTGCAGGGAACAGGCGGTTTCGGTGTTTTCCTTAAACCCCAGGGAAAAACGCGGTGTGAAGAATCGAGTGAACTCCCAAGGCGACTCCTCAGCTGCCGAAGATGCCAAGTGCTTTGAAAACTCACTCCGGAACTATGGAAACCACGGAAATTCTTCAAATGAAACCCACAGAATCTGGAAACCATGGAGACTCACTCCGAAAAGTCCAGATGAGAACACCAAGGGTTTTGGTGGCAGTTGATGAAGGGACACCCCATGTAAAGGGTCTTGTCAATTCTTGCAAACACTTTTGTGAAACCTATTGTTGTGCTTTTGGAGGGTACACTTTGCAGCTTGGTTCAAAGGGAAACCAAAAGGACAACCAACATTCTGGAGGATCCCCTATTTTGACAAACCCACCTTGTACGGTTGTGGAGTTCAGTTTTGATCTTGCCAGCGTCCCTGTCAGATCCCCCATACCCCAAAAAAACATGTTGCAAGATCCCGTTTAAGAACAAACTCCTTCTAAGAAGAAGTCTCTAAGAACCGTTCTTTCGGGTTGGACGGGGGGCTTTTGTTTTGGTTCCGTATGAAGCGAGTCCGAAGTATACTGGTAGCACAGTAGCTGAGATATCATGGCAGCAAAGTGCAGAAGGCCACACACAACCATTTCGGGCCTTAGGGTGGAGATTGGGGGCATTCTTGTTTGGCAGACGTTTATTTGAACCATGGTTGGTTCACCTGCTTAGTTGTTTGATGTGTTGGAACACTCGTGCAAACCGGGAAACGCGATGAAGCTTGCATGTTTGCTTGCACGCACACAGTCCAAGCGATGTTTTCAGCCAACGCATTCGGCTGATTTCGCATGGCTCAACTCTCCTTACGCAGCATGCAATGACCGTTTTCGGCACTGTCCCACGGTCCCAGTAAGATGGACCAGACGAGGGAATCTCCGAACGCAGGGGACCTCCCAAAATGGCGCAACGGTTTTTCTCTTGGTGCTCCTTGAAAACCACAAAAAAGAGGCAGCACAATAAGAGACCCTCGTGGTACGCAAGATTACAATCCCCTCCCGGAGGGGTCTCGTTTTCACATAGCTTGCTGGTGCGATCGGTCGGGCATGACTGTTGTGGGTGTCGGGAATGAACCGGATCGGGATTCCCGTAAAGGAAAGCATAGAGGATGGGGCAAAGGGGTCGTTCCATTTCTATGGAACCAGCAAAATGAGTGTATTTGTTTGTTTGCAAACCACGGAGATGACAAGACGGACCCCTTGACTCAAGCCTGCCTTCTTTTCATCAAAGTCAGCTGGGTTTCACTAAACTGATCGAGTTGGAAAACAATGAAAACCCAAGCGAAGGTTCGGGAGCGACTAGCTGCGGGTTCGCGGGTTCCTTACATATAACTTTTAGGTAGGCCTGTGAATTCCGGCGTTTGATGAGTCGCATTTGCAGAAATGCCCCTCCGGAAAATGCCAACACCCGCCCCAACTGCGCGCAGGAGGTGGTCATTTGGATCACGGCCAGCGGCTGAGCGGCCTTGACAAGTCACTCACCCCAAGTCGGGCTCAGCCAAGGGAAAAACAGTGATCTGTGTTAACATCAAGGCATCCTTGTTGCGTTAAATGTCTGGTCCTTGACAGGTGTTGCCCTGAAAACCAGGGGTCCACTGCCAGCCCCATAAGGGTGCTTTCTTTTTTTTAGGGGGAAGAAGCCCTACATCAGCCAACCCAAAAAGTGGTTGGCGCTTTGGGTGTTGAATAGCCTATGGTTGTTTAACGAAATTACCCTCAACCAAAAGGGATGTGTTTTTCATTTTTCTATACCCCCTTCCTCCATTTCCATTGTCCCTTTAGGGCACCATAAAATGGAACGCCCAGATCTCGAAATCCGCTTCCGCATGCCCACCAAATTTCTTAACACCCACCCTCCCTCCCCACCCCACCCCCCACATTTTCCCTCCCTGAGGCCGCTAGGGGGAAGAGTTGCCGTCGCGATTCTTTTTGTCCGGCTCCAGATTGCGGCCACCATCGGCTGGCGGCCTCCGCCGGCGGGGAACCTGAGATTTATATGTAGATATATATATATATATATATAGACAGCAAATATATATAATATGTATATATATATATATACGTGTATATATATATATATATATACATACAAAACAAAGGAAAAGTGACAGGGTTCCCCTACCTTCACGGAACTCTTGGCATGTACGTTGCGGTGTTCTGTTGGATTTCTGTTCACGTTTGAGTTGTCTTGAGTTTTTCGTTTTGTTGGAGTTGTTGGCTTCTGTTCATTTTGAGTAGGAGGCTGCACACAACACATGAGTTGCTTTGCATGCCCATACTGTTTGGGTTGGAGAGCTACTCACTCCCTGAGTTCCGGTTCGGACTGTAGACGTCTTTTCTGTCAAACAAAAGTTTGGACTGTGTGGCTAATCGCCTCAAAGTAGGCCTACATTTCTCCTTTGCTTCAACAACACCAATAAAGAGACCTTGTTGCAGTTTTTTGTTGGTGACCCCAAAACCAAATTTGGTTTTCCTCTTGGTCTCCCTTGAAAACCCACCACAAAGACATAACCATGATGTTTTCCTTCTAGCCGAGTTGAACTTTTTCCACTAGCCAGAACATTCAAACCTAATGAGGATGTCCAAACTTCAATGATCTTGGCCATGGGAGAGACCTTAACCCCCCCCCAAAAAAAAAAAAAAAAAAAAAAACTAACATGAACAAACTTGGGATTTTCCCCATGTCAGAAGGCAAAACCGGTGATGCGCAGTGTGCATCCTTCGCAGTTGTTGGCATGCTTTTGCCTGTTTTTAGGTTTTTCTCGGTTGTGAGGCAGGCAAGCAGGCAGGCAGGCAGGCAGGCAGACACACACACACACACACATGGGGGAGAGGCTTTCAGGAGGGTCCCCTTTTGCCTTTTTGCTTCGGAGCGAAGCCTTTGGAGTCCCGCCGTTTGAGTACAAGCGGCCCTGACTACAGTTTGGTACCATGCTTTGGAGTCCCCATCCCCCCCCCCACCCCCCCCCACCCCCACTCCCACCGCCCCCCCACCCCCCCCACTGAAGTTCTGATTCCCATGGGCGGCCCAGTCAGCTCCGTTTTTCTCCTAACCGACGCTCGGACGGAGGGCACAGAGGAGGCGGAGCGGAAGCTGGTGGCTCGGAGCCTGGACGCCAACCCGGCCACCCCAGGCCGGGCTGCGGATCCGAGGCTTCGAGGTCGCCCAAAAGCAAACCGGGAGGGTGCACCGTTGTCGGTGGGGTTTAGGTGATGTTCGGTGGGTTGTAGGTGGTTCAGGTGGGTTTGGGTGATTTCACGGTGGTGGTGTTTTCTTGCTGGTGCGATAGGGAAAGAGCCAGGGTGTTGGGGATGAACCTAAGCCACAAGGGATGCTGTATCGGGGTCATTCTATTTCTTGTTTCCTGAGAACCGGCAAGACAAGGGCCATGACTTTTTTGTTGACTTGGAAAACCCGACCTTTTTGGGTCCCCTGGAAGGGGTTCACTGGAGTTCACTGGAGTTCACGGGAGATTGAGGGAACCCTGGAAAAAAAGCGCCCAGGGAAACCAGAGCAAACAGGGAACCCAATTGAGGCAACACCAAAAGAGGATGGGCGTTGGATCTTTTTACAGAGTGTAACACCTGGAGGTGGCGGGGAAAGGTTACAAGCTGATAGCCTGGAGCAATTGACCAATTCTTGGTCTGTTACTGGTGTCATTGTTTCTGGGGTTGTCAAAGTGTGGCTTCCCTTTTGCCTACTATACTCTCTTTTTTTTGGGGGGGGGACGTCCATTTGGGCAAGAAAGTTGTGTTTTTCTCCCTTTGCTTGCAAATGGAATCTGTCACTACTTGGAGATTTGTTTAATTGTGCATAGGGACTTCAGCAAAGGGAGGGTTAGTTTGGGGACCATCGGGGAACAACCCAAAGTTTCCACAGGACCCAATTTCCCACAGACCTGCGGTGCTCAAAGGGAGGCTTCGTAGTATCTTCCAGGGCGGTACCCGGGTGTCAAGCAGGCACGCAGGCAGTCAGTCAGTCCCTTTCCAGTCGCACGCCTTGAGAATTCAACCAGTCATTTCCCCGTTTCACATCTTAAGAGTCCACAGCACCGGCTGGCATCCTGTTTATGTTAGTCAGACACGTCCGGGGTTCCTTTCCAAGTCCCTCCAGTGGTGCCCTGCTTTCCGATTTGCTTATTTTTTTCCTCTCCGGAGAGGTTTAGGATTGAAATGAGGTAGTTTCCAGGTACATCTAAAGATCGCAGCTCAGGTTCTCGTTTTTGGGCCTCTCAGCTAAGAAACACTCCACCAGTCTCCGGAGAAAGAGAGCGCTCGATTTTGGTGCAGGTGGCCTGCTGGACAAAACCCCCGAGGCAGAAGCGGGGTCTCACAACGTGGCAGGCGCGCTTTTGACGGGTTGCGAAGGCGTTGGTTGCCATGAGGAGTAGGTGATGAAGTTGAAGAGGGCTATGGATGTGCAATCTAATTCTACTCGTTGGGTCATTGGGCCTGGGAAATGCAGTTTGATGTGGGGGCATTGGGCGATAGAATTTGCACATTCAGCTTCAGAGAGGAGGTGCGTAGCGCCATGAGCACTTTGAGCGCGTCCTCGGAATGCAGTTCTCGGATTGAAAAACGGCGCCTTGGGTTTTGGCCATATGGGCATGGCTCAAAATTAAAGAGCTGGGGTTACGCGGGTTTTAGTCTTTGGTTCCATTTGCCAAGGTGCCATTTTGGTACCACTTTTTTGAGCCACAGCCATATCTGAGCTTAGGATGGAGCTTGTGGCAGGTTCTCCAGTTCTTCGATGCGCAACGTGCGGCCTTTGTACACCTACGCCAGTTTTGTTTTTGTCCGTGGGTTTCATTTTTATCCCTCTCTGTTTGGTGGGTGTAGGGTTTAGGGTTTAGGGTACCTAGAGTCTCCATGACCCTTAAAAATGGTTGGTCATTACCCAAAATTCAGGGGGTCATGGACCCATTTTTTCAGGGTCAGAAGGAGACTCTAGGTAATTGTTTTTCAAGCCCACGGGCTCCACGTCCATTTCACCATGGATGGGACATCCTAGCAGGTGCCCCAGATTCAGCTCCGTGGATTGGACAGACCTCCAGCGTCCTTTCCTCTTGGTTCGGATTCCCAAAATCTGCGAAGCGAGTGCCATGTTTTTGTTCCCTGCCAGGTGCTTGAGCTTATGCTCCATGTATGGAAGCAGGACCCTCCCCATACACCTCTTGTATGGAAACGGTGCCGCGAAGAGTCCGTAGCTTTCGGGGGCTCCAGGCAAAGACCTCATGACCTTCGGAGAGAGCCTTTTCCTGCCGGTGAAGTACAAGCCCAGGTCCACTTGGATTCAGCTCGTGCCCCATCGCAAACTGTTTCTCTTGCAAACAGCTCTTCTCAAGCCTGGGTAGGCACAGAGTACGATGGGATAGTCCCAAACTTAAATTGGTGCAGCCAGCTTATCAATCCTTTACATGGTTTGGGTAGAGCATTCCTTAGAATCCCGAACATGGTTGTTGTTGGGAAACAATTTTACATTTTTGCTTATTGTGGTTTAGTGGGAAATCCAACCACTCAACCGCTAAAATTTGAGAATGTTTTGCTCCCCTTCCAACGTCAACCATGCGAATGTCGAGAAATTTGGGTGCTACATGGCCCAAACTGCTGCCTTTCCCAGGAAACTTTGGAAGGGGATGTGTCGGATGTGTGGCAGCATCTCGGGCGAGACCATCCAATATGCCGGGTCTTTGTTTAGAGGACCCCTCCAAAATGTTGTGCTTTTCCTTTAGGTGTCCCTTGAACTTTACCCCCCCCCCAAAAAAAAAGAAAAGAAGAAAACAAAGATAAAAGAAAGCAGAGGTACCCTCCAACAAGACAGACCCATATGTCAGCACTGTATCCATGCCAATTGGTAAGCACACCCCGTCAAGTGCGCCGTCAAGCTCAGCGCTGTATGTTTGGCAGATGGTAAGCACTGCCTGTTGGATCGCCAGGTACTTTACGACTTGGACCCGACCAAGAAGCCCATCGCTTTCGCCTCGATCTCTTTGGCCGAGGCACTTCGAGGATTTCGATGCGCCGAAGTCCAAGCGAAGGGCTCGCTACTTGGAGGTTCTAGGCGTTCAGCCCATATGAGTCCGTGAATGTGGCGATCCCCCTAATGGATTTTCTCACTCAAACATTGAGATCCAAGTAGCATGCAAGATGCCACTTTCTGTGCTTTTTTGGGGATGGGAATCCCTGGTATCATAGAAAATGGGTCATTTCCCAGAACTCTAGGGGCACCTTCCCCATTCTTTCCAAAAACCCCAGGGGAAACGGGCGGTTTTGGAACAGAACGATGGCTAAAAAGAACGTTGTTTCGCTCCTAAAGGCCTGGATGGCGCCCGAGGTCGAACATCCAAGTTGATGCTTGGTGGCTCCCAGCCATCCGGTTCCTTAGCTTTTGGGCTTTTTGGTTGGTTTAGTGGTAGTTTCCGAATTTCACCGACTAAAAGTGAGTCACTTTTAGCGGGGGATGAAAACGGGCAGCCCAGGATGAAGGGAAAACCAGCGTGCCTCAAGTCCCATAGGCCTCTCCTCACCTAACTTCATGTTGAATTTAGCTAGGTCCCCCAGTAGTGCCCTTTTACCCTTTTTGGGAGAGTTCCCCTACTAAAATAGACCTCTCTACTGGAGATTGCTGGAGGACCCAGTTAGTCACTTCTTGGGTCTGGACAATTTTAGTGGCGAGCAAAAAGTTTGGTTACTATTTTTGGCCAGTCCACACCAGTCCTCCCCAAAAGCATAGACTAATTACCACTAATTTCTGGGCTGTTTTCAAAGGCGATCCTGAATTCTTGCCTTGGTTTACGCAAGGAACCGGTTCCCTTTGTGCAGTGAAAATCACCGGTTTCGGCTCCTGAGGGGCAAACTAGCGAGTCTGGTTTCTTGGGGGGGTCCCCGATTTGTCAGCGGGGTTCCAATGGCAATATTTTGGCTGGTCGCTGTTCCAAATGGAGGGTTGGCGAATTTCCGATTTTCCACAGAATCCCCAGAAGCCATCTTGTGCCCCTACCGATCGAGCAGGCCCTGCGATCAGCGAATGGCAACAAGTCTGCACAGAGCGCCGTGCTTTGTGTCCTTGGGCTCTTTCCCGGCGCAGCTTCCGACTGGGGACTTTCTACAACCAGGGACACCAATGGAAGATATCTGGGGGTGATAGATTTGGGCTTCCCATCAGTGATTTGGCGATAGTGGCAACCTCTCAGACCACTGGAATACTGAAATCGCCGGTCAATAAATTATAAGTACCGAGCGTGGACGAAATTATATAATCCTGCACCAACGTTCAGAACCCCTGGAATGATTCGATGCCCCTGTAAAATACCAACAGACGTAAAGGTTTCCACGATGGTTTCATTTCGTGGCGCGAGTTGTTGATTTCGCGGGGCCATCCACGAAAATTTCGTACTGCCTGGGGCCGGGTCAAGCTGCTTGCACCGTGCCCGCGCTGTGGGCTTTGGATGTTGTGGGTTTCATGTTGGCCGGAAACCTGGCCTTACCTTCGAATTCCCGGGAAACATGAAGAAAAACCACAGCCCAACAAAGGGTACCCTAATAGGCAGCAAATGCGCCATCGGTTCGCTCATCCAGGTATCCAATCGCATGGGGAGGAGCCAAGAATGAGAGGGAACAGTCCAGGCAGGTTCCTCCCTTGTGCCGGTTCCACCTTTGACTCACTTCCCGAGTTCATGAACTCTATACTTTTTGAGAAGACCACACAAAAAAGGTGGGAGCTTTTTGTGGGCCATCCCCGCTTTCGTTCGAAGGTGGGTTCCTCTCTTGGCCCCAGCCATGGTGCCGCAGTTTACTCGCACAAGTCTGCACTCATTTGCTTGGCATTGGCCATGGATCTCGCTCCTTTTCCAGCAGGGCAAACGGGGAAGAAAGAAAACTCCCAAAGAAAGGAAGACATGGTTTCACGTGGGTGGCGCGGCTTTTTTTTCAGGGAGCCCATCTTTTTTGGCTTTGATGGGAAAGGAAAAACAACACCTCATTTCAAGGTTGACTGATTTTGAGAGAAACACGTGTGCAACAGGCAGGCAAAACGAATATTGGGCAAAAGTCCCCATACAGATCAGAGAGTCCACAAAGCGAATCGCGAGGGAAGCGAAAAGAATCTCACTGCCTGAGTTGGACTTGAGTCACTTTCTCGGGTCTGGACCAGTTTGGTGGACGAACAGTTCCAGGACTTTGTCTGGGCAATCCTGGAGAGAGAAACGGTATCAACCCCTTATAATGGAGGGCTCCCCACGTTTTCCCAGAGGATGGGGATACATGTGAGTTCTTCAGCAATGACATTTGCAATCTTCGTTTTTATTTTCGTTTGCTTGCTTGCAAATCTGTTTCTTGATCCTTGGGGCTAAGAAAAAAAATCCATGAGGGGTTTTCCATTGAGTTCCGATGTTCCAGAGCTTTCCGTTTGGGAGAACCCATGGGCAGAGTTCCGTTCAACCTATGCCCGGCTCGCTGGGGACTCTGAAAGGTTTATGGTAATTCTAGGATTGAAGCGTACAAAAAAAGTCAAACCAGGGATCCCAATCTTTTCAGGAAACCATGGGCAAGAAAACGGGCAAATTGGCGATGCTTTTTTTTGGAACAGATGGTTGAACAGAATGGTTGGAATCAAGCCCTTGAATGGTTTGATGAATTCCCGTGTTAAAACGGGCCACCGGGGAAAAACAATACATGTATATATATATATATATATATTATATATATATATATATAAACGGGGAAAAAAGGTCCCCTCTTTCTACCTTGCGGGCTGGTTCCCGCCGACAAGACGTCCAATGGTACTGTCCGCTCGCAAGATCCGTTTGCCAGACCTTAAGACCGGAAAGGATGTCATGGTTTGCAAAATCCGAGGCGATCTGCGGATGAAGTTGCAGCCCATGGAGGAAGCCAAGAAGTCTTGGCCAAAGGCGGGGCAAATCGACCTCCGAAGTGCGGGCCCAGTGGATGGGTCACCTTTGAAGGGGGTGGGGCCGCAAATTTGATGTTTCGACCAACAAAGATCGAGTCAGATGCAAAACGATTGAAACCACCCGGGGAATTCATTTTGGAGGGCCTAGCAGTGAACTGTATGTAGCTTGTCATTCAGGAGTCTCGGGCCAAAATGTGAGCCCCCAACGACTGCTTTTTGGACAGCACTGGGAAAAATCTGCAATCATTGGAGGGGCCCGCATGTCTGCTTTTAAACAATCCTGAAAAGGTTACTTGTTTGAAAGAAGCACCCGCATAAGCCATCCTTTGCCCATACAGATGGAAGCTTGGGGCCACTTTGATTCTGTGGGTCAAAGCAGATCCACGCCGTGCACCTGCAGGGTCTCAACTTGACCATGGCGTGTTGTGTTGGTCCATGGCGTTTTTGTCTCAAGAATCGTTGGACCCCCCCCACCAATGGCAATGCTTTCTTTTGGTGTCCCTTTTAACCCCCAATCCCAAAATGGGTACCGATCCTCGAAGAAAGACCAGCCATTCAGCCGAGCCGGCTGAATGGCTGAGGTGCCCGCGAGCAATGCGTTCCGAATCTTCTGGGTCCGGGATTCTTTTAAGTGCTGCAAATCCACGGTTTGGGAAGATATTCGTCAAAAGAAAGGGGTCATAGCCCCATCTTTGAAGGTCGGAGTCAAAGAAAGCCTCTACTCTCAAAAAGCACATCTACAAAAAGAACCGCCTTCCCCCTCCCCCCCCCCAGTTCCTTGAATCGTTTTCCCCGAAAAAAGACTCCGCAGGCGCCTCGCCCGGACGGCCCGAAACCTGAAACCCGAAACCCGACGCCGCAGGCTGTGTCGGGCTGCTTGCCTTGGCGCCACTCGCCCCAGCTGGTCGTCAACTTCAGGCCGGGAGTCGGGAGTCGGAGTCCAGCCATGGCGGTGGGTCAAAATGGAAGAGCTGGGGCAAACCGCAGGTTTTAGTCTTTGGCTCCATTTACCAAGGTGCCATTTTGGTACATCTATTTGACCCACAGCCAATATGACTGTGGGTCAAAACCGGTTTGGCATGTGCACCCGTTGTAGAACCTATTTTAGTGATTGAATCGGAGGTTCACAGGGGTACGATTTGGATTTTTTGACCCATGGTCAAGATGCGGCGGTGTCCGTTTGATCGGTTGGTGGGGTGCGTCTTTTTCGGAGTTGGTACCCCCTTTGGTTTGATGATGAAGTATATGCATAGCTTGGTGGTTCAACCAGCGAACCGTCAGGTTCAACTAAGGTGTTTAGTGTCTTCTTTGTTTACTTTGGTGGGGGGTGGTTCAACCAGTGAATCGTCCGGTTCAACTTAGTTGTTTAGTGGTTTTAGTGAATTGAGCGGTTGGGTGTCCGAATATAACCCACAAGTTAGACACTTTTAGCAGGGAATCAGAAAACGGACAGCCGGACAACGGCGTCCCTTTGATCGGTTCCTTGGGACAAATGGCCGCCAAGCATATGGCGGAGATGCAACGCGGAGTTTCGAGTTTCCTTCAGGCGCTCAATTTCGGAATGCCCCAAGCCGGTTTGACCATATGACTGTAGGTCAAAACCGTAGGTGCACCACCCATTTTAGTCGGGATTTTAGTGGGGATTGGGGGTACGGGGTTTTGAGCCATGGCCATATCACCTCCTTGAATACCACTCTCAGGTTCATTGTCAAAAAGTCAGGCGTTTCAGCGGGGCCACTTTCTGTGAGTTGCCTCAAGTTCGTTTGGATCTAGAGAGCGCATGCCCCAGCCTTTGGGATGGACATGGGCTGACAACTGTTTTTTTGTTGTTGTGTTGTTTTTCCTTTTTTTTTCCGGTAGACTGTTGAGGTTAGTTCCAAGTTGGAAACCACAAACCCAAATTCTAGGACGCCTATTACAAAAAAAGAAAACGATTGCACGTTCCCCACAAGGCAAACCCAAATTGCAGCTCCATGTTTGTTGTTTCAAAGCCAAAAGGAAACCAACCATTCTTGCGGATTCAAAACAAGACACCCAATTGGATTCTGTCCAGCAGTCCCACTTTCTCTTTTGACCCTGCTTTCCCTTGAGGATTTGGAGGGCTCGCCTTCGGAGCAAACAGGCAGACCCAGTTCAAAAGTTGTACCATGGATGGAACGTCAGGAGTTTGTCCATCAGAAATCTTGGTACAACCCAACGTCATTGGCTCGGAAAGCATGGCTTAGTCTGTGCTTGTGTGAGAGACGCAGCCTGCCTTCCAAAACAGATTCAAGGGCATGAGAACGTAAGACCCCCAGAAGGCCAAGTTGTCTCGGCACCTCCAGGCAGCTTCATGCTTGCTCGGATCAATGTCTTGCGGTTTGCCTGTGCTTTGCCGAAATGAGTCTTCCGCTGCCATGACTGATAGACTCAGCCATGCACATCAGATGGGGAGCCAGAAAAGAGTGTTGCCGGAGGCAAGGAACACACTCCGGAGGTAGGAAGGAGCCAATGTTCAGAAGAGCTGTTTTTGTTGAGGTCCTTTTTTTGGGGGTTGGCTTAGGAAAGCCAGAGGAAAACCATCCCCTGGGGGTCCCTCAAATTGCCTCGACTGAATGGCCGCAACCCGCTTCCGGATTCCCACGGCTGGTGGGTTTTCGAGAGGTATTTGGAAGTGCCAAAAGCGATTGAGATCAAGGATAAAGCCTTTGCCTCAGCTCAGCCCGTGCTTCAATTATTTGCTAGGCCATCGTTTTCTCGCCTCAATGTTTTATGATCCATCCAATCGAAGCTGGCAGAGTTTATGGAAACTGGCAGAGTTTTGGAAGACGACTTCTTTTGGAGCCCCTCTCTTTGTCCACTGAACCCACGGTTTTCACGTGCAGCCGCCGCCTGGGTGTATTGCCTTCTGCTCAAAGATGCACTCCCAGAAGGGGATCGAACCGTGCAGAGGTGATTACCTAATCAAACCGAAGAAATTCAATACGGGGCAGGTTGAAGATCTCAAAGTTTTTTTGGGGTCGCCTTGACCGTCTCACTTTGACCTTGGAAACATGCAGTTGATTGCGGGAATGGCCCGTCTTCCAGGGGATTTGGACCACTTTTGAACCAGTTACAACCCTCTAGATCTGCGGGTCGACCTTGTGCACCGATCAGTACCAAAACCCCGTGACACACCTTTGGTTCTTTGCATGGATTGATATCTCAGAGAGGCTCGGAGGGGCCTTCGCCGGAACTACAGCCCAAGAGAGACTTAGCAAGGACTCCAAGGACCCTATGGGTATCATTGGAAGGGAATGTGTGGCATTGTCCGCAGTGATGCGTTTCTCATGTTTAGGGGCAAAGATGGCCATGGTTCAAAACCATTGGTACCATTTTGGGATAGGAGCACCACCCATTTTAGTCTATTTTAGTGTACGGGGTTTTGACCCATGGCCAGATCAAGTGCAAGAGTACGTTTGGAAGAGGGATCTGAGTTTCCTCTCATGACAGCCGGTTTTGGCTTTGGCGCGCATTGCGTGAGGCATTGGTGAAGAATTATTGAGTCTCGGAAAGAAGCCCTGCCAAGAAGTTATAAGCAATAGTTGTCTTGCTGGTGCGAGAGATGCAGGGAATGAGTTGGAATGACCCCGGGAATGAGTTGGAATGACCCCCTTATAAACTATCCCCTATGGTTCCTGTAGAATAAATCAGAAATTCCTGAGTCGTATGTCGGCGAATCTAGCTTTCGTTCACCCGCCTCTCAGTTGATGATTCCCCACGGAACCCAGGGACACCCCCCTATTAATATGCTGGGGTTTATTAATCCTTGGCCAATACAGGGGGGGTTATCCCCACTTCTGTGATACAAGAGATTATCTCCTTTATATGGCAAGTTTGTCTTTAAGAAGCCCTTGTTGTTGTATCACAGAAGTGGTCATTTCCCACAGCCCTGTTGGCCAACGTGAGTGTGGATTGATGGTTTGGGGATTTGAACGTTCTGGCTCTTGAGGCTAAATGGGAAACTACCCAACCTTACACTCCTAGAAATACATCAGGTGATTGGTGGTTTGGATTTGAATTCGAACCCCAGTACCTTTGAAAACAAATGAGGAAGGTACCCCCCCAACGTACCACACCACCAAACCAAGCCACCAATTCGGGGTAAGATGAATTTAGCATGGAACCCAAAAGAAACGTCGTTCATTCGCAGGCGAGGAATTGGCAGGGAGTGAGGGAGGCCCTGGTTGTTTTCCTGTCAAGGATAAGCACACAAATACGCTTCCAGCCGTCCTCGCAGTCAGTGTTCAAAGTTCTGATTGTGCCCCATTCGGGCCAAGCAAGCCATGTTTATCTTCAACTTGTTTAAGAACAGTCGTTTATGAATATCTCGCACAGATTGTTTCTCAAGGCCTGCCATTTCTGCAAGGAGGCCACATGATGCCCGTAATTCAGCGCGCACAACGTGGACCAAATTTCTGGGGTGTCGCGCTTGAAAAGGGTGTTGAGTTGTCTTAGGTAACCCTGAATCTGTGATTTGTATTGGGGGTTTGGATTTGAACCACTGGTTCCACCACCCTGGAACATGTCCAAACCACAAATCCTAAGCAACTAGAGATAGGCTCATTCTCCAAAAACCGATAGACTGGTTTGCTCTTGATTTCTTTGAGAGGTCGCATCCCCCCTCCCCCCCCCCCCCCGATTTTCGGATCCATTGTTAGCCGCATCTAGGTGAAGAGCAAGCTGGAGTACCTCTCCTACGAGCTAAAGGCCAGAGAGGAAGAATTGGCCACCCCGCCGGAGTTTCATTTCGAGCCGCTTCGTTCCTCGGGGATTGGGTGCTGCGCGCATTTTTTTTCGCGCGGCGACCAAAAGAGGATAGACATGTCTTCTCAATGTTCAAGACCCCCCAAGTGAAACCCAGTAAATCATAGAGAGTCATGGGAACCCCGAAAATTCAGGGTTTCCTCTTGGTGTCCGTTTCAAACATACCCAGTTGGGCAATGTTTGAACACCTTGCATGGCAATATAGATGGGCAGGCACCTTTCTGTTCACCCCTTATCAAAAACGCCTGGTGCCAACTTAATATACTAGGTCCCCCAGTTGTGCCCTTTTACCCTTTTGTGGGGGAGGGTTCCCCTGCTAAAATAGACTACAGAACAAAGTTGGTACCCTTATTCTTCGCTCTCTACTGAAGGACCTGGTATAAGTTCTCCATGAGACGTAGAGGGGGAGATCGAAAGCCCGACGTCGACTCAGCGTCTGTCTTCGAGCCTTGTGGCGTGCTCTGTTGGAGCTCTCAGGACCTCTAGCGCTATCAGCAGTTGCCAGTTTTGGGGTGCCACAGTCAAGATTAGATTTTGACACCAAGATACACAAATGCGACAATTGAGCCTCGGGCATGACTGCGTAACTTTCAAATGTGGGTGGTGTTTGATGATTTCTCTTGTCGAGGGAAATGATCTCTGACTGGCATATACTGCAAGAGGACCTGTCATATTCAACAACGAAATCAGATCATCGGAAGCATCCTACTTTGGCACACAGGGGCCCGTTCGAAGCCCGGGGAATCTTTGGGCGGAACCTTTTGGAACCTGAGGGAAACCAGCGGATTGACACAGCGGGCGGGTCAAAATCAGACTCCAAAGTGCCAAAAAGATATGAGACACCCAGGAAAACATGGGACCTGGCAGCAAACGTTTTGGGTTGAAGATTATATGGCTGTGGGTCAAACATATGTACCCAAAATGGAACCCTGGTAAATGGAAACTTGGACTACAACCTGCGGTGGTGGTTTGATTTTGACCCACACCCATATTCATTGAGTTGAGCCTTGTTGGTGGGCTGTGTTCTATGCCACTAACTGATGTCTTTTTCGGCTGACATGTTGCTCGTGGGGATTGCTGCCTATGCTCAAGGCAACATGTTTGTGCTTGGTTGCGAGCCCGTTGTTCGACAGCTTCCTGGACCGCTATGTGGACAATGTTTGGAGCATAGGCGTCCTTTTTGGTTGTTTTGGTATAAAAATAGGTGGCCCTGGTTTACCTGGTGGTTTAATCATCTACCAGGGCCATCTATTTCCCCTAAAAGGACACCTATGGTTTGGAGGTTCTTCTGATTTTAAATGTAGACTCCCAACAAGTCCAGCCAGTGTGTGCCATGTGGCTTCCAATAGACTGTTCTGGGCGGTGACGGGGGTTGATCTCCCAGTGTCTTGAAACAGTCTGATAGAGCCTCCAAGTGCCCATGGCTAAGGCGCATGGATTTCTTGGCAGCTGTCTTTCAGGTCCTTCGCTGTTGTTGTTTCGTTGCTGTTTGTGTTGTTGTAGGGGACTGCGAAATCCAAACAAACTTTGTTTTGCGAGCCCTTCCCAAGGGTTGGGTTTAGGGTTCCAAAAAGAAATAGCAAACCGCGTTGTGACGCGTTCGGACGGAGTGCTTTTGCTTTCCGATGGATCGAAGTGGTCGGATTGCCAGGTGGAGCTCAAAAAGACGAAGGCGGTCCTGGAGGGTGAGGAAGAGTGAGATGTGGCCGTGTGGAAGAACAAAAACAGTGCTGCGCTGGGGGTGCCCCATATTTAAAAAACAAATGGAACACCAGCTGTGTCTTTTTTTGGAGAAACCGCTCGAATGTGTGGGATGTTTGGCGACAGTTGGGAGACTTACAAGTGGGAATGTGCAAGTTACCAACCACTTGCTACGGCGTTCCCCATATTCCCATGTTTGGTGCCTTTCAGCAACACTTTTTGGTCCCTTGTTAAAGTCTCCCAACTGAAGTGCCAAGTTTGGTTGCCGCATCCCAAGCACAAAGGCGCTTCCACGTGCAGAGTCGTTGTGGCGAATACGCGAAATGCAAGCGACGAATTGGCCGCAGTGAGTCGACGAGGGAGAATAAAAAATGACGATGACGGCGATGATGCTGATGATGACGACAACGATAACAATAATAATAATAATAATAATAATAATAATAATAATGATGATGATGATGATGATGATGATGATGATGAGCCGACCTGGCTAGCGCCGTGTTCAGAAACGGCGAAGTCATACCCATGGCAGCAAGGACGCAAGCCATGCATGCTACCTCGTGCCTTCTCGGCCGATCCACGATAAAGGGATAAAGGATAGCATGGTTCTGATCTCTCGCGATTTCCTCCTCTTGAAACTACCATCAAACCCCTTGAATGGACGCGACGCGGTTTCCAAAGCGTCTCCGACGCTTCGCCCAGCGTCCGCACGCAATTCCTCGCCCAAGCGAGCAAGTGTCTTCGACGACCTCGGTGTCCAGAAAGCTCGCAGCAAACTGAATCGTTGGTGATGCCAAGGGCCATCTCTGGCATTGCGTCTTAGAGGTGATTCCTTTGGTGTCACAAGGCAGCCAACAACGCCCAAGGTGCCGCCCCAGTTGCTTTGGAATTGTGGCTTGGACACGATTTACGGTTCGATGCCGGGCATGGCAAGCTGGTGGCCACTTGGTAAAATACAGCGCCGCCAAGCGCCGCCCTTTGGTCCGAGTCTCGCTTCTTTTGCGACCAATGACACGTTTTGCCATTAAATGCTGTTTGCTTGCTTGCATGTTTGCTCGCGTAGTTGCTTGCGTGGCTGCTTGATTGCCTGCTTTGCTTGTTGTTTTTTGATTGCTTTTCTTGCCTTGCCTGCTTTGGTTTGCTTTGCTTTGTGTTTGCTTACATTGCAACAGCGTTCAGGTTGGACTGCATGGTTGCTTTGCAGAAGGCAAACAGGCGAGTTTAGAGGCATATTGGCTGGAGAGATTGAAGCGACACATTGCTCCCAGGTTCTTGGAAGCATGCCAGCCCTTCAGTCACAGAGGCCGCGTGTTGTGCTGCAAACTCATCCCCCTGATCTACCTTCCTCGCAGTTGGTGTAGGTGACTTTGACACCATGAGACGGCAGTCGCAGGATGGGCCAGGCGCAAACGCATAGCCATATAATCCACGAAGCTTCTTGCACCGAGTCTAGCCAACGAGATTTTACTTTCCGTCCTTGCTCGCATCCATCAAAGCAGCATGGCCTTGTCGCTAATCGATCGGGAAGCACCAGACCACCAGGACCTGCTCCTCCACAGCATCCATGCGCCCAGCAAAGCTCGCAGAGGCCCCGGAATATTGCCCGGCCGCATCTCTTGAGCGTTGGCAGGGCCACGTGCTTCAGGTCGCCCGGCCAGAAAGGCCGACGCCGCATGCTGCGGCACATCTGGCACATCTGCGACTTGGCGCTGGAGGTCCAGCAAGGCGAAGCGGCGCGCGCGCCAGTACTCGGGCAAAAACGCCTTTGCCGAAGTCTGCGTGCGTCCCGCCGAGCGTTCCACATCACCAAGTCATACATGAAGTGGAGTTCCCGGCCACCGGCCCCAAGACTTTCTGCAAAACCTGGTCGGCATAAGGGCGCTGAAGACAAGATTGCGGCGTTCGAGACGATTCGGCGGCGCAAGCTTCACAAGGACGACTGCAAGTCTGCCGGATGATTTTTTCCAGGAAGCGTTGCCACTTCTTGCTCGCCCATCCGACGCCAAGCAGCATCGGCGCAAGTTGCCGTTCCGCATTTTGGAGGAACCAGGACAGGAGTGCGTGCTGTGGCCTCATTTGTATTGGGACGCGTCGCTCTGCAGTTTCTGCGGTCGGCCCGCCTGCGCACCAGTGGGCCAGGCGCGCTGGGCAGTGTTCGGGCGACGAAGAATCGGAGAAACAGGGCGACTGCGAGGCGAAGTCCGTTGGCTCGGCCAAACCAGACAAGCCGAGGAACTGCGCGGATCATGGCGCGGTAGCCGTGAGGAACTTTGTCATTGACGCCGACGTCGATGTACAAAGGGTGGAGGGCTGCGAGGCTCGGCCTGCGCTCCGCATGGCTCCCTCATTCTTGGCTGCCGCTTCTGCCTGCCCAAGCGGCTTGGACTCGCAGTCGGGAGTTGCCCGCGCCCGACGTCGCCCAGCTGCCTGCGATATCTCAATTGGTGCTGGCCGGGCGGCGCTGGCTGTTGCGGGGCGCAACTCCCCAGTTCAAAAAATCGCCTGGGCCGCGCCCCCCACATCGCCTCACAAGCACTCCTGCGCCCCCAGGTCCCTACAGTCCATCCCACGCCTCAGCCACCTCATTAGCCTTTGCGACCGGCACGCCTTGCTGCGATGCTTTCGTTTGCCCTTGCGCCTGAAACCGTATTTTTCCGGGCGCCGCGCAGCTTGTGCCAGGTGTAGCACTGCGCAGCCAGCAACTCAAGGAACGGAAGGGGAAGTGCGCTCTGCCAGGAAGCGTGCCATTTGCGCTCGAAACCGCAACGCCGGACACCCTTCAAAGAAAGGCGCCGCAGGCCCGGGGCTCGCAAATCAAGCGCTCTGCGGCCAACGCCGGCGCGCAGTGGACCGCAAGCCGGACCGCAATGAGCCCTGCTGCCAGCACCGGGGTAAAAACAAGAACCCCAAATGGGGAAGCAAGAGTGGCCCGACGACACGCTAGCGCCCCGGGACAATTCCTACGGGAGACGAGCCCCACGCTAAATCTCCACCCGTCCAACCTGCCCGGAGCTTACCCCCTTGGGTGCCCTCCTGCGGCGCCTGCCCCTGTCCGCCAGCACCTGTTCGGGGTTTTGGCAACCACCGTGCAGCGCGCACCTGGTCTGGTTGGTATCGAGACTGCCCACTTCAGCGGGCAGCAGCCCGTGTGTGCCGCGAGGCCGGGGCTCACGAACACACTTGTCCGAGACGACCGAGGTCATCGCGCTCGGGCTCCGTTTGTGGAACGGAGCCCAGCTCGCGGTTGACGCGACCATTGTGTCCCCGCTCATGGGAAAGCGCGCTCTCGGCGCGACCCGTGCTTTTGCCTTTAGAATGCCATAAGTGACCGCCCAGTTAGGTGATTTTTCAACATCCGCCTTAAGCTGTTGTCCGGAGCCTTTCAACGCACTGGCCACTCTTGAATTGCTTCCCCCGCTGGGGTTGCAGCCTTGACACCGCGTGCCAGGCACTCTGGGGCCCGCGGGCCTGGCAAGGTGACTGCCTTGCAGTCAGCCCTCGACACTTGCTCGTGCACGCCTGCAGTTTGATGGCCCACATGGAAATTGTTAATCAGTAACACTTCGCATCGGCATTCTAGATCGCACCAGCCAAGTACCCTCCGCCTTTGCATCAGTGTCTTGCTCCACAGCCATGGAGCACGATGTCATGGATGCCATCCATCACACCATATCCAGGAGCTATTTGGATTTAGAAGTGATGCTGGAAGAAATGCATTTTGTTTTACTCCGCTATGCAGCATTGTGCCAATCTGCCTTGCCATACTGGCAGCCTCGGATTTCGCGACGTTTTCCAGATAGGCCTGGCCTTGCTCCCGTGAGCCACATAAACTCGATATTTTGAACTTTCGCTCGAAAACAAACCGCTTGCAAGTGCTACAGCCATGCACAAACAGCATGCCTTCAAGCCAACGCCTCGCCCTAGCCGTGCTAAGGTGTGCATGCGATCTACGAGCACAAGCAGATCTAGGGGTTTTGTTCTCTTTTGAACCATCGAGTGCCCTTTTTTTGCCGGTTTGCGCGCCCGCGCTTGTGAGTACCATCGCAACCGCTTTGCCCTGCCGGATTACAAGCATTTACAAGCCAAGCTCAGATGAAAAACGCTTCCAGCCCTGCATGCCGATCCTGCACTTTAGCTGATCTGCTGGTTTGGCACAGTCCCTTCCACAGGTACAGCTTGCCTCGCCTCGACGGCTACGTGCTCAGGGGCCTGGCTTTTGTTAGTTTCGCATCGCCTTTCCCGCAACGATGTGCTTCACAACACATCCTGGGCCCGGCGCTATATATATATATATATATAGCCAACGGGGCTCAAATCATGCCGTATAGGGAAAGACTCTTTGGGGGACGACCCATCCTTTTTTCCCCAGATGGTTGCTCTGCCAAATGCACGGGCAGCCCTGTTGAGAGTCGTAGCCACGTCAGTGCCTTTACGCCTGGCGAGCTCCCGCCTTCTACCCACGAGGTGATACCCTATTTTTTGTTTATTTTTTTTTTCTCGCGCTTTTTCCGTCTGCTCCTGCAGGCCACTTATATTCCGGCGGCCCCCGGATGTGCTTAGGGGGCATTAAGGGGGCAGCCATTTGTATACCGGCGGCTCCCGGCTGTGCGGCTCACCGGCCGGGCAAGCGGGATGCGCCTGCCAGTGGCACGTGGGCAAGATCAGCCAGCAAGGTGCCGAGGGGAGGCAGGGTGCCACCCCCGGCATTGCAAAGCTCCGGCCCGGCAGCCTGCCTGAGAAGGGGCGAAGCAAAAGGCTGTCATGGCTGCATGTGTCAGCTGGGCCGACCACCTGGCAACAAGAGCGCCGATAACACTGGGGCGCAGCCGAGCTGGCGCTTCAAGTGCCCGGGCGCGGGCCAGGGACCGGATGAAGGAGGCGGCCTCATCACTCCACCGCCCGCCAACCTCGACTGCAAGCACGACCAGCCGGCATCTGTGCGCCCGCATGAGCTCAGGCCCGCTTTGCGACGGCGCGCCACGGCGAGGGCAGCACCAGCGACTCGACCCC